AAGAAAATGGCTAATTTCTTCCAAATCTTTGATTGAAAATCCTGTGCCTTCATCCTTGTGACTGCTGTCTTCTTTCGCCGGCTTAATCGCATCTTCTGCGTCTACGTCTGCAGCTTCGCCTACGGGTTGGTACCCTTCATTGGACAAGTCTTCTAGATCTTCTTCCTTATCATGAGGGCAGCTTTTTTTCATTTCGCCGTTTAGGGTAGCGTCTCCATTCTTTTGCTGCTTCCGTACCTCCCTGGCGCTTTCTGCATCCGCCCGCACATCGGAAGACGAACCATTCGCGACGTTCCTCCCTGCCCCCTTAGTAACCTCCCTCTTTGGATGTTTCCCTGGGGACGACTTATGCGACTGTTTATCATCCGAATCGTCATTTTCCTTGTTTGAAAAAATGATGTTCTGGTCGAAGGAGTAGGAAATTGGAGCTCTCCTTAACTGTTCTATGTCTTCATTCTTGTGCAAAAACAAGTTATCCTTCTGTTCGTACCAATTCATGTGCTCTTCGAACTTCTCCCCCGTGGAAAACGTCTTACTCTCTCCAATCTTGGAACTATTCGGAATATTAACACCATTAGATTCGTCCTCCCTTAAAGATTTATTATCGACATTCTTCCCATCCTTCCAGCATGGACACGTCATGGAACTCTTATCATTGATCCCATTGTATAAATACAAAATGCTATCCTTAAAGGGGAGTCCTTCTCGTGTAATATGGTCCAACAGAAGCGTAATTCTGTAGTGATAGCATTTATGGATCTTAGAGTTATCTATGCTATAACTTAATCGCTTCCTGTTAAAATCGACTATGATGTGAATATCCGCGTATCTCAGTTCGTGTTTGTTTGGCGACCAATTTATTCTGTCTACCTCCAGATATGCATTTAGTTTGGTCAAATCATTCTGTGTGTTCGTGCTTTCCTCCACGAACTGAATGCTATTGGATTCTTCATCGCCAATGACTTTTTTGAGCAATCTGGGGAAAGAAGCGGAAAAAAAAAAAAAAACGCGTAGAGTGATGAAGAGCGGGACATGCACATGCATACAACGGATGCCCCAAAGAGAGGAAATGCACCATCAGCCGCTACCACAAGCAGTGCTCATATATTTCCTTCTAGAAGTACCCCTCTTGAATGATGTCTATTTCGATGTTCTTGTTCAAGGTCAAGGTGCAAATGTCGTGGAAGATATTTTCCGCAGAAATGAGATCCTTTTCTTCCGTCGGAGATTTTTTCTCTTCCATGTTTTCGCTCTGCTTACACCCTTCACTGTGTGAAGCGCAGAAATGCGAATGCAAGTGTACAGGACGGGAAAATATGCACACACATGCACAGGAAGTGTGTTACACGTCGAATGCCACCGCAGGAAAGCCGCCCAGATTTGGTCTTAATTGCTATCTTTCTTGGGAAAAGTCTCCCGTCGTTGGTTCTCAAGTTACTTCGTTGTGTTCTTCGATATTGTGCGATATAATGCGTTACGTTGCGTTATTTTGATGTTTTCTTTTTTTTTCTATCTCCCCTCTGCGAATATCAGTTTTCTGACATTCGAACCACTACCGAGGACACATTTTGGCAGATCATTTTCCAAAGACTTTTTTTTCCTTGATTAATTTTATTTTCTGTTCTTTTGCTTCCGTTTTTAACGGCATATATTTTTTGTTAATTCCACCCGTTTGTAGTTTTGCTCACCGTGCGGTTGACTTCTTCGTTTCGCAGTTTGGTACATGTGTAAATTCCGAAAGTCTGGGTTTCAAGTTATAAGTGGCAGCTTCTAGCTGTCCTTTCTATGTTGCTTCTCTACTTTGTTCTTACTATGTTCCTAACTTTTTCCTATTCTGTATCTTCTTCTTTTCGATTCCTAATGTTCTCACCTCTGCTTTACCAGTGGGACGAAAATGGGCTGCCCAAATCTGTGTGACGTTCCACTTCCAGAAAAGGAAAAGGCAAAAACTGAATTTCGCATGCACATATACGTGTCTCCTTTTCACACGCAGGGCAACTGAACCTTTCACACTATTTTTTCATGCCCCTTGGCAAGTTCTGGAAATTTTTTGTTTTAAAAACTTGCACAATTTCCACTTTTCAATTCCTGCCCCTTCTTTTTCAAACTAATTTGTCAAAGTATTTTTATGAACAGGGATATGATTGTATGTACAAAAAAAAAAAAAAAAAAAATTCAAAAAAGAAGCCAAAGTAATATAATAGCAGAGTAACAAAATGACATAATAACGCAGTAGTGTAAAGGATTATACACGTTAGGTCATTTTACACTATGTCACGTCCGCCGCGTTACCGTTAGAATTAGTAAAGCATTCCGTCCATTTTGGTTTATAAAAAGGAAAGAAGAACTTCTCCTTTGGAAGGAAACTACACCATACATTATATTTCCTTTTAAAGATGCTTCTTTTTTGCGTTATTCCTTTTTACACTGCTAATAAAATAACCCGAATTATTTTAAAAAAATCATTTAGACTAGTGTAAAACTTGGGGAGATATGCAAGTCGGCAGCGTTCGCTCGCGTTCGTAATGACGGGCGGGAGAATATGTAAATCGCTCTGGGGTGAAATTAATGTGCGCACTTGAGGGCGAGGGCAATTAAAAAGCCAATTAAAAACGTAATTCAAAAGCCAATTAAAAACGTAATTCAAAAGCTAATTAAAAACATAATTAAAAACGTAATTAATAAGGTAGCTTAAGAGAGGAATTAAGAAGGCAATTATTCGGGTAATTGAAAGGGCAAATTGGAACGCCAATTTCCAAGGCCAGCTTAAAAATCTAAGTTCTAAAAGGCCTGCTCGTGCGTCTAAATCGCGCTAGTGAAATTCTCCCTATTTCGAAATACGCTAGCAGGACAATTTCGCGATGATCACACCTTGGGCATTGCAATTTGTATGCTGCTGCCATCAAGGAAAAAAAAAAAAAAAAATGATTCCAAAATGTCTTACCTAGGTGCATATTACCGATACGTCATAAATAGATTATGCGCAACATGCACTTTTTTTTTTTTTTCTGTTTTTTATCTTGAGATGTTCATTCTTAAACAAGACATCTTTTCTTATGTGTTCGAATAAAAACTGTAATTTTGCGCTATGGTTAAATCTACACAAAGAAGTGGAAAATGCGAAGAAATAAAATAACCGTTTTTAGTGCCTTAACTGTGAAGCTGTTCCCCCCCAAATGGATCATTAGTCGGGGTAACCATTTAGCATAATTAGGTCCTTTTTTTGAAAAAAAAAAAAAAAAAACATTTAGACATCATGATAAATGCTTTTTCTCTTTGAGAAAAAATAAATTCCCCCTTTTGACCACCTAAAATGCGCACATAACATTTCGTTCCTACTTATCTGTACTAAACGGGACTTCTAAACAGACACGCCGTGTTTATAAGCCCATATGAGTATTCTACAGGAAGGAATAGAGCTACACCTAATGGGCATATTTGTGTGTACCATTTTGAGCATTTGCCCCGCTTCAAAAACGTCTTTTTAACACTGCTGCGGGAGTGACATAACGCTACGTAGGGGACGATTAGCAGAAGGTCACTTGGCCGCTTCCTGTTTTCCCCTTTGCCTTTTTTTCTCGTAAAATGACAGAAAAGGACGCACATCCGAAAGGCTTAAAGACGAAGGTACTGGGAAAGGGGAAAAAACGCGTAGCGCTATGAAATGGGCACCGATGTATCTACATAGAGTGGTGCATCTACACAGGGGTGCATCTACACAGGGGTGCATCTACACAGGGGTGCATCTACACAGGGGTGCTTCTACACATAGGGGTGCTTCTACACATAGGGGTGCTTCTACACATAGGCGTACTTCTCCCCTTTCGTGACCATCCCACTCCATGAACAGATAGGCGAACTCGCAAAGGCACTGAGGGGCGTGTCCGCTGAAAGGGACATTCCCACAAATGAAGAGGCCAATTTGGAAAACGCCCTTTACCTCAAATTGTACGAAGAAAAAAAAGGCACCATAACCGAATTTTTGAATAAAGAAAAGAAAAAGGTGTACGACCAAATGGAGAGCTTTAAGAATGACGCGCTCAAAAAAATTAACATAATAAATGAAAAAAACGAAGACGTAAAAAAGCAGACAGATATATTAACCACGGAGAAGAATAAAAATTTGTGCTTCATCAAAAACTTGGAAGCGAAGCTTGAAAATATTAAGAAGGTCATCATGTGAGAGGCCCCTTCCCCGAAAAAAAAACACATCCATAGATACATACATTCATACATACATACATCAACACATCCATTAATACATCTGTCCATACATCCATACGTAGCTGCGTAGCTACTTCATTTATATACCCACTGAAAGAGCGTTAGCGCTGTTGCAAAATATGAAGCAATAATATGCCACACAAAAGGTGAAACGAATTTCTGTCCTCTCCTTCTGTCCTCCTATCCTTTTTTAAAAAATACACCAGTTTTCTTCCCCAATTTGGGCGAGCGAACACACGTCAAGTGTCAAAAAAATGGAAGAACATAACTGAGGATAAAATACACACTCAGTTGTTCTCAACATGTACATCTAAGCCACGCGCGTTTTCTGGTCAATTCAGCAAAAAGTAAATCACACCGAATACGCGGAAAAGAAGCGGCCTTCCCCCCCCCAAAAAAAAAACAATAAATAAGAACGCAGTGATTTGTGATACGTACGTGCGAACATGTACACAGCCTTATCCATCTACGTGTTTACGCCCTCGCTCATCGTATGTGCGTTTGTGTGAGCTTCTGTGAGTTTACCTGAGTTGTTTGCCTGGCCTTTTTCCGCATTTCGCTTTTTCGGCTTATGCCACTTGTCACCGCGTAGAAGTTAAAATAAGGCAAAAACAAAATGAACAATAAAAAGTGAAAAGTCAAAACTGAAAAATAAAAACTGAAAAATTGAAGCGTAATAATTGAAATACAAGGAACGGCCCATAAATAGGCCCCCACCCACACGTACGCGATCAAAGAAGCTCACAACAAAGCAACTGATAAGAGGGAAGGCTAAAATGAATGATATGATGAAGGAGGATAGCCAAATAAAGTGTAAAAACATCGTATCCATATACACCATTCGAATGTATCTAAATGGGGTCATAATTGGATATGTTTTTAGACGTGAAATTTATAGAAAGTTTTATGTATATAAAAATGACAACTTGATATTTCATTGTTTAAAAGAAGGGTTCTGTTCAGCAGCACGCAATCAGGGTCCTCCCAGCACAGCTCATTTATCATCCCAGAGTCTATCGCATCATAGAAAAATCCGTCTGGCTAGTAAATTAAACTACAACAATTATTGCAAGAGTAACAAATATATCTGTAACTCTTTCCCCTTCCGTAATTTATCCAATTTGAAGAAAAACATTGAGGTCTCAAATTTCCTCGCTTCGAGACTTGCATTCTGGACATGTAAGCCTCCATAGCGAGAGAGACGCGCGTGGATATACCTTCATATGTGTGCATGTACATAAATATAAATATCTGCCCATCGTTTACGAAAAGGCCCCATTTTATACACCCTCATGGTTTTACGCACTGCCCACTTGAAGCACACACCTATGTCTACACGTATCCCCACCCGGGGGAACATTCTTAGGATTTCACTTTATACACAGATTTGCGAAAAAGTAGAGTGTATTAAAGATATAATCCACTTCCTATCTGACTGCTATGTGATTTTACTATTTTACCGTTTTGCTGTTTACATATATATTTTTGTGTTCCCCTTCCCCCGAGACACACACGTACACCCCGTCGCTTGCCCAATTCCACAGGCGTCTGCACCTTAACGTGCTGGGAATTGAACAAAGTATTTGAAAATAGCGTGCTGTCCCCTATATGTTCTGGCGTCGTAGCTTCCGCATTCAAGTAAGATCTTTTACTTTTATTAAAAAAAAAAAAAAAGAGCGATACAGAGGAAAATTCTAAAACATGTTTATAACCACTCTGCCTTTCTTTTCTTCTCCAACGTCCGCGCGTTATCCTTAAACTTCCTTTTAGCAAAGTAATTTTCAGGGAGTACCAGAAGATTCTCATCCCTGGATGGCTCGGATGCATCTTAAGGTAACCACGAGGGAGTCAGACATTTGTCCAATTCAATTGGACATCCTGTGAAGAGTGACACTTGTTCGTAAAATTTCTTTCATCTTTACATTCCCATTATTTTATAATTCCTAACACTGTGCTGTGCTTCATATTTTTATCCCCCTTTTAGCTACATTATTTTTATTTAAGCGACAGAGCATCGGCAAGGTTAGCCTACTTTCTCTCAAAAAAGTAAACAAGTCCAGCAACAGTTGCTCCTGATGCCATAGAAAGGGAGCTCAAATTTGCAGTTCCACGTAACGTCGCGGAATTGTAATTTTCCACTTTTCTTTTTTTTTTTTTTGGTAACCCTAGTAATATGTATTATTGTTTGAACGGTGCATGGCATAAGTACACACAGTGGGTAGAGGGTGATGCGGGATGGCCAACAATTTTGTAAGCTTCTTATGAGGAAACAACCCCGAAGGGGCTTATATAGACCGCCACTTGTAACACAAAATTGTGCACTTACATCCTGTGTACATTATCCCAGTGAACCCCTCCTCCCGTTTCTTCTTTTTTTTTTTTTTTTTTTAGTATAGCTGAGTGGTCAACTATTACATTTTTCATTTGTACACATATGCAACGATCATCTAGATAGAATAACCCTAATTTGTTTTCCCCTATCTTTTTCCGTACCCCCAATTTTTTTTTTTTTTTTCTTCCACAATTTTTAATCCGCCAAATATTTAAAACATGAATGAATGTGTGCAAAAATGATCGTCATTCGGGGGGTATGCCAAAATGTACATTTCGCGAATGCTACCTTAACATGTGCACTTCGTCTTACGAAAGCGTGGACGGAATTGCATAACGGGGAGACAATTTGTGTGAACGCCGTCGCTAATTAGCTATTCAGCTAGCTCAGTTATTCCTGTTGGCATTATTAGCACTGCTTAACACTGTCTATACTCTATTTTTTGTTTTTCTTTTTTCGGTTGACTCGTTTTTAATTAATATTAAAAAGTCTTGGCTGCCTCGCTTGACACGTGTAAAAATCATAATCGATGGAACACATGAACACATGTATACATGCACATACGTGCATACATACATAAGGTACACGTGCTCGTATACACCTTTGTCGGCATTGGGTCCAAGCACTAATTTAATTAGAAAAATCGTAAATTCTTCCTAATAGTACATGGAATGTATATATATATACGTATCGCCTTGGGGGTAAATAAAAATACATCGGGCTACGAAGCGTTGTGGTACGTACAGGTGTATGTGCGGATATTACGGGCATGCATAAATGGAAGGAGCTTCTATATGCGGCGATCAGCAGATGTAGCTGCTTATCTGCACAGGTTTGTGCGAATTTGTATCTAGCAGGAACCTTCGTAAAGGTAAAGTCTTCGTTTGGGGTGCTTCATCATAGGGGGCACATTCATAAAGTACACATTTACACACATTGCTTAGATGCTTCAAATTCAAAGTGCCCATGTTTTTTAATTCTTCTTCGTGGTAGGAAATTTCAATAGACGTACTTCTTTTCGTAAAGGGATGCACCTGCATCGGCTCCGCCTGCACCTCCCTTGTACTTTCCATATGTCGCCAAGGAGTTCGCTTCTGCTCTCTTTAGTAACACTTCTCTGGCCTTCTGAACATTCTCCTTCTTTCCTTTCCAGGTATTCAAGACAGAAGCCTGCAATGCTCTACCGTAGGAAAAGGTCAACGCCCATGGATGTGGACCTAACGCATTCATGGAATTCAAATTGACAGATGCTTCCTCTTCTGATTGGCCCCCCGATAAGAATACAACTCCTGGTAAAGCTGGGGGTACCGTCCTAAGTAAAGTTCTGACTGTGAGGAAACCAATGTCCTGCGTTTTGGTTTTCACAGCACAGTCGTATCCTGCGGTCACCATGTTTGGCTTCAATAAAGCTCCTTCCAACAGAATTCCGTGATCATGTAATGCTTTAAAAACACAAGCCAACACCTTCTGTGTTACAGTTGCACATACTTCTATAGTGTGAGAACCATCAGCCAAAATTTCGGGTTCAACAATTGGTACGAGTTTGTTCTGTTGGCAGATAGATGCATATCTAGCTAATCCCCATGCAGTTTCTTGAATGGATAAATCAGTTGGCTTTCCCTTTACTGGATCAATTACTAAGACAGCTCTCCATTTTGCAAACCTTGCACCAGCTTTGTAATATTCTTTACACCTCTCAGCTAGACCATCCAATCCTTGGGTTGACTTCTCATCATCAGTGCATGGGATTGTAACTAAACCTTTGTCAACTTTAATTCCTGGAATGATTCCCTCGTCGTGTAATAAATTTACCAAAGGGACACCAGCTTCATTCTTCTGGAATAGGGTTTCTTCAAACAAAATTGCTCCTGATATAAATTTACCTAGTCCCTTCGTTCCGAAGAGTAGGTCTCTATAGCTAGCTCTGTTCTCGATGGTATTTTCTACATTTATGTTATCGAACCTTTTCTTAATAGTTTGGGTCGATTCGTCAGCAGCTAAAATTCCTTTTCCTGCTTCAACAAGCTTCTTTGCTGTGGTTGCTATTTCTTCAGCAACATCTGCGGATAGTTTGAGGGGGGCGTTTTTATATTCGGATCCGGTGGCCTGTAAGGAGGAGGGCAAAAATAGATCAAAATCAGTATTTGCAAGGACATAATGGGAAGATGCTCTCATTTTTTTCTTTTTCTGCTCAGCTAGCCAATTTGTGATTCATGCACAAATTGTGTTCTTCTTGGTATGCAATATATACTATCACACACGCAATTTTGTATACACTACAATGGGCACATGTTACAAGGGGAGGGAAAAAGCGGAAAACCCACATACATATCACACGAATGTAGCAAGAAAATGGTATGACCACACTGGGGTCAGGCGTACTCCTCCAACCCCAAAGATTTGGTCATCTCTCTTTCCTTTCAAGAAGTGAAAAGCTCTCAATTATTCTCAGTACCATTTTGTGAGCAATCAGATGTTCTAAGTATACGTATAGTTATATATGTATATACTTATAGGGCTATCGCAAGGAGCAAAATATATTAAAAATTTAGCAAAAATTATGTATATATATTTCTTTTTTTCTGTGAAAAAAATGTACCAAAAGCATTCGTCAATGAATTTATATATTTGCAATAAGGGCGCCAAATTGAAAAGCATTTCCAAAAGGCACATACAAATAAATTCAACAAATTTGACAGTAGACAAAAGTAGTCCTAGCATGTAGCACTCGCATAAGTGGCATATATATATATATATGCAGTTAATGCGTACGTGCCCCTTGCAGTATGGTAAATGTATAAAAAGCTCTTAACCGTATCACCTGCACCCCCGGGGCAATGCTTTACGCGGTAAAAACCGGTTCCATGGTTGGTCGAAGGGGGTTATTTACTTCCATCACATCCCGGTTTGTAGCAATTGCGCGGGGCAGATGTTCGTACATGTTCACGAAAATATGTACTCAAAAGTGGTCACAAAGTGGGTACAAAAGTGGGCGCAAATATGCACTACATGGGTTACTCCCTTTCAAGCGCTCCTCCCAACGCCGTATGTGTGAACTGCCAAAAGATGGCTCAAAAAATGTAAGCTCTTTCTGATGCAACGCAAGAAGTGCCACCCACGCAGGCCTTCCTCAGCATGAAAAAAAAAACGCTCGAAAAACTAAACACGAATAGAAACTTGGAGTATACCCATAAAATGCGCATGTAAAAAAAGGAAAAAAAAAGGATTTTTTTTTTTCCTCCATGTATTACGTAAATGTAAATACAAGTGACCAAATCACTAAACGTTGGCATGTACTTCTGCATACATATGAGCAAACTCCGATTCGTCATCATTTTATGCCTTACCATTTTTAAAAGTTAAGTGTTTTGCGGTAAATATGTTATTTGTAGCACTGTCCAATGTACGTGTCTCTTCCCTGCAAAAATAAAAATAGGTGTTTTTCTTATTGTTGAAGTATACGGAAATATTTTCTTTCCTTTTTGCCTTCAAAACTTGCATACAAAATGAATCCTTTATAATAAAGCATTTCGCCCTGATATTCATACCACTGTGTTAAGGATTATTCCAATCGTTTTAATGTGTAATTGCCAAAGGGGGGGAGATGTGTTCGATTGAATGTATTTTATTTTAAGTGTGAATGTTAAGCATGAAATGAAATTTTCAATCGCTCAATTGCTTTAATTTTGCCTTTAAAAGAGAAAGAAGTGGATGAAATGGACGAAGCAGAAGAAATTGTGAAGCAAAGCAATCGCAGGCTCGATTAATCGTTTTAAAAATATTAATGTTCCTTTTTGTCAAAAATGTGTGGGAAAAAAATTAAAATGAAAAAATGATAAATTTGAAAAGAAAAAAAGGAAAATGAACTTTTGTAAAAATATTTAAATGGAAAGATGAAAAGGTTTATTTTTTAATTTTGTCAAAAAAAAAAAAAAAAAAAAGGGGAACGTTTTTTTTAAATAGCCTTTTAAAAAAAAAAAAAAAAAAATTCGCATCAAAGTATGAAGTCTCTCAGGAAAGCAAAACATTTCGCAAAACTTTGCACATCGATAAACGTCTTATTTTTCGTTTTTCCTTTTCCGTTCGATAAAGCGAAAAAAGCTGGATACGAAAAGTGTTCGGAGTTACCCACCTGTGCGTACCAGAAAAGGGGAAAAAAACTTCCTACATGCATTGGAAGAAAATGGACAGGAAAGAGTTGTATAAATTTTTTTACCTGAGGAAGCTAAAAAACAAAAAGAAAAGAAAAAAAAGGAACAGCATTCTACCTCCTTGGGAAAAAGTTAGCGTGCTCTTAAAAAGGGTGGAAATATTGGAATGTTAGTACGCAAGACGCGCAAACAGGTGTGAACATGTGTGTCCATATATATACATATAAACATACATGCGGGTGGGACTGGCTATAACTGGGCTCTTTACAGAATAGGTGGGGCGCAATTTGGTGCTCAACAGTGAATATTCGCAGGGCTATAATATCTCTATGCCCTCATATTTTTTTTACTGTTCTCTTTTGCCATTCATTTTAAGCGTGTCTCTGCGCAAAAGGAGCAGAAACGTATGGATGGTTAAAAAAAAATATAATTCTTTTTTTTTTTTTACTGGTTCAACACGCATTTCTGATTCTCTCCTACATGGGTTATCATAATGCTGCACATCGTCCCTTGTCCGACTACGTGTGTTTACGCTTAAGTGTGTCATAGTTTCCCCTCCATGTAATTGCAGTGGAGTGTAAATAGGATTCGCGCCATCGCGATTATTTTGTCTTTCCTGCCAGGGACGCGCATTACTACCTACCTGCGTCCATGCGACCATGTGCCCCTCAGAGCGCTGTTTAGAATATGCAACATGTCGACATAATCATATGGCTTGGAAGAACTTCAAAAAAGGATTCCCTGTTCTTATTACTTAGCTCCGCTATGCACATAGATTAGCACATTTTAATGAACATGTACTTATCTCACTTTCGAAATATATTGTACTGGTACACTCAAAACATTGTAGTAAACAAATATAACTATTTGGTAGAAACACTGCAGCGGAGGAAGATCCCTTTCCATCCCACGGTGCATCCCCGTTATTGTGCCATTTAAAAGAAACTATATATACTTACGTTCATATATGTTACACGCACAATCAGCTTTTTTTTTGACCCATTTTTGCATCAATAATTTGTTCTTCATTTTTTGTAACCTATCGAAGCCTTTTCCGCACAGTTTTATGCCATTTTGTTCGTTTCCACTTTTTACGAGGCAAATAAGTTGTGCCCTTCCTGCGTGCAACCTAAACGGTCACTATAAATCCCGTTGTTGATATCGAAGATGTTTCCGTGTGAGGAGCACCCCCCACCCACCCTCTTTTTCTCCAGTTAGCCATGGCATGCGAATAACTGCTAAAATGACAATCTTATGAACCACGTTTTTATGAATAGTGAACCCCAAACCTGACATCTCCAAGGAATGGACTAAGGACGCGTTTTGCTTTTACCCACCCCTCTTCGCTGAGTGTAAATACCGGAATACATGCACATGTAAAAACCCAAGTATATGCATCCCTTTGGGAGAGCTAAAGGGACGTATAATACTCTCGTAAGGAAGATGAAAGAACATCTCAACTTCTTCGAACTTTTTCCCCATAGAAGATGTTTGGAAAAATAAGTTGCCTTCCTTTAATTGGGAAAATCTGTAAGAACCACGAGAAGGCAACCTTTGCATTTGTTCCGTTAGTAAACAAAATTGTGCGTACAAGCAAATGCTTCAGTCTTAAGAATTTAGCAAACGGAAAAGAAGAAGCGGTACGCAACGTGTTGGATGACGGCATTTCCTTTCTTTTATTTGGGGACTGCACCGTCTATCATAAAAAAGGGTTAACTTACGAAATAGGACATAGAAGAAGCATCCATTTGGGAAACACCACTGAACTTATTCTACCAACACATGGCCTAAGGAATAAAATCCGAGGTAGACCTTGGGGAATTGACACTCCCCATCGCAGTGAAGACTCTGGAAAGGGGATGTCCCCCACCGATTTGATACGCAGCGCATGTGTAGAGAAAACACTTCATTTTAGTTGGCTCAAAAATATTAGGAAGAAACAGTACTACAAGATTATAGGAAAAATGGGAGTTAAGAAAAGGAACGCTGGAATGTACTGGAGCTTCTATGTCAACAAGAGGAAAAAAATTAGAAAGAAGCGCAGGACTATTTAAGCAGCGTGTCACGTAAGTGGGGGTCTCACGTGTACATGAGCATGCGGTCTTTTGTCCGCCTCGAGCAACACGGTGTTACCTTTTTTAAGACCATCTTTTTGATGATCATATTTTTTTTTCATGCTGAGGGAGAACAAAAAAGTTGCGAAGAAATAAGGATTCCCCAAAAATTGGGACAAAATTACACTAATGCACTTTTTTCAAACGGTGACTATATATTAAGATGTTCTCAGTAGAGGTGAATAATCTGTTTTTTTGTATTTCATCGCTTTGAAGCATCTCATCACTTGGGAGTATGTCCTGTCGTAACAGAGCATCTTCAGAAGGCTTAAACAAGGTTGATACTGCATGAATATCAGTCTGGTGGGGAAATAAAAAAAAAAAAAAAAAAAAGAAGGGGGGAGGAGAGGGCAAATCGTGTCGTTCAGAGAGGATGCGGTCTATATTTCTGTGCTCACCGCGTTAAGATGCCCACACATGCTTGCATCTCATTTGATTAATAGTTTTCTGGAGGCCTTTTTTTTTTCGCCCATTTCCCCCCCTCACGCGTCTCATAAACGAGTGTGCACACGCGAGATTTACATACCTAAAAGGGGGCAAAACAGAATGGTAACATATATACCCTTGTGAACTTACCCGCACATGCCCCCTTTTTTTATTAACCGCCCCGACGGCGTAAATCAAATTATAAGCGCCGCTCAGTCGAAACGGGCCCGGAAATAGGAAAGTTCACGATGAAAAACTTATTCTTCGTCTTCGAAATTTCGTAAGAGACATTCCTTGTTTGCAAAAAGATGAGCGAGTCGCTTTCAGGTTTTATCACCCTAAAAGGGGCACCATCCTTTTCGTTGGATGGAAGGGTTCTGGCATCAGCAATGTTCGGTTCTGCCTTATCACTCTCCTCGTTATACTCATTTTTGTATAACTTAATTTCTACGTCATCATCTGAATGTACAAAGGGGACATAAATACAGGTAAATTTCTTCCCGTTGTCCATTTTGCCATACCCTCCTTGGCAATGCTTTTTTATATAAGACTTATTGGGGGAGAAGTACAAAAATTGAAATAGTGTACCTATCTGCAAAGATAAATTTGCCTTTTTATTTAGCTCATACGGAAGTAATGATAGCTCTTTTAGGAGTTTATATAACCCTCTTTGTTTCTGTCTGTCCAAGCTAGTAATGTACGTCCAGCAGTAAAAATCAGTTCTCACACTTTTGTACTCCATGCCAAATTCGTTAAACTGGTTATTATACTCGATAAAAACTAACTCGTCAAATATTAACTTGGTGTATTCCCTGCCGAGGAAATTTTTCTGTAGCCCCACATGATCATGCATCAAACTTGCAATTGTATCGGTCTTTATTTTATTTAAGTCATGTTCGTTTATGTTCAGGGGGTTCGCCAAAGAAACAATATTTTTTGTGCTCTTCGAACTTATTTCTGTGATTCTTTCCTTCACCTTTGTTGTTATATACTTACTAAAAACCAGTCTCAATATATCACTTCTTAAAAAATGATCCGTCTCTAGGGTTACTTTATTTTCTCCTTGGGAAGCAGCCTTGGCAATTACATTTGTATATATGGCGAATGCCTTTTGTGTTATTTCTGCCAGGGACGTTTTCACATTTTCTTGGTCCTTTTCACTGTCTAGTATTTCTCCCAATACATCATCATCATCTTTTTTAAATTTGAAGCAACTTATATTTCCATCGCTATGATGGTCACTACATGAGCTGCAACTTTGTTTGTTTAATTTTTCCTCCGTTCCGGTTTCTATCCTTAGATCCTTTTCTAATTCGATGCAATATTGGTAGCTAATCGTCCCGCACAAATAATTGTAAAATTTTGTCACAGTTTCCTTGTCCCACTCGACTTCCATATTGGGAAGAGGAGCAGACGTAGAAAGTCGTTGCGTTACGATGGATTCGGGGAACGAAAAAAGGAAAAGAAAACAGTTCACTTTCGTGTGAATCTTTTTGTTTCCCCTCTTCGAATGAGCGCTATGAGCCTACGAAGTATCAATGTGGCGACTGAATATGCTGATTCTCAAGTGTCAAAAAAAGAGTGTACCATGTTTATGCCTACTTTTTTTTCCTTCTCTGATTTTTCATAACATCGTGTGGAGAGGACCCCCAGGCAGGCGCATTCAAATAATGGAGACCCCACTGCAGGATAAGCTCACCGGTTTGAACCCTCCCATTTGCATACGCACATGTGCATGCACACTGTTGAACCGAATAGTAAAATTGCAAGTGATCTATTCAAGGCCCTCCCGTGTTCTATACTTTCACATTTACGCCTTTTTTTGTTCCTCCTGCTTCTCGCTTTGTCTGTTGGACCAAATGCACGTGGAAAAACGACTGAAACCACTCGTCCCGCTTTTCTGCTTCGCATTCGTACGGTATAGCGCAATTGCCTCCCCATTTACGTCCTCAAAATGTTGTAAATCTTTGGGAAAAAATTGCGTTGCCAATAACTTGGCACGTTTTGCAAAATAAAGGCTTTTTATTGATTCGTGATAGCGACGCGGTTAAACGGAGTTAAAAAAAAAGGGAAGAAAAAAAGCGCGTTAAACATGTGCAAAATGTCAGCAGAACGTGCGCAAAAAATGGGCTAAAATGGCCTAAAAAATAGGCTAAAAATCTATGAAAAACGCCTTGGCAAATTCGAAATGGAGCGACTTCAATGTTTGTCCACTTGCACAACTATGTGTGACAAAAGATGCGTCCATTTTTTTACTCATTCGAATAGGGTAACGATTTTTTCATGTTAATTTAATTTTTCTTTTTTTTTTTGGGCGTTCTCTGGCTCAGTCGTTGGGGCAGCGGTGGTAAAAAAATGGCACCTCCTATTGACAGCGGCATGGACATGCATAGCTCACGCGTGTCATTCCCCGCCAACTGCGACCTCCGCTACAACCGCGGTCGATCAAATAAAGCGTTCGTAATCCTCTGCTTCCAGGTCAGGTTCTCCCTGAAGTAACTCTTTATCTTCTGCACACAATCTTCTAGCTTGATTTCCCGTTCCCCCGTCGACTTCTCCTTGTCCTGTGTAAGCTCTCGTAGTTTGATGACGCCCCTTTCAATTTCATCGCCAATTATCACTGCCAGGGGAATCTGCTTCTCCAAGGCGTAAACCAGCTGCTTCTGTATCTTCTGATCCTTCACGTAGATAAACTCCGTCGATATGTCTTCCTCCCACAACTTTTTACACAACTCGATGGTCTCTTTAAAACAGTTTTTCTTCATGTTGCATATGAGGACTTCTACCGAGTTGTCCTTCAGGGGTAAGACGGAGGAAGCGGCAATCCCAGGAGAGGCAACATCCCCCGGTGAAGGAACCTTCCCGAGGGGACAATTCTCTACTTTTACTTCCTTCTTAGTAAGAACGTCGCCCCCCCCTGGACCCAGAATTAAGCCACCCTTTTTTACCACCCCCTCGGCGATGGCAATGATCCGCTCGATACCGACAGAAGCGCCAACGGATGGGATATACTCCTTTCGTTTGTTCCTTATCAAGTAATCGTATCTCCCTCCCGCAGCCACACTCCCTAGTCCCGTCTCGGACAGGAGAACAAATTCGAATATAATCCCTGTGTAGTAATCCAATCCCCTGGCCAGAGACAAATCAAAAGAAAATTGATTGAGCATATTAAAATGTTTTAACAAGTCAAAAATTTGCTCTAAATGATTTATAACTTGATACACTTCATTTTTGTAAGATTCCTCAAAAGCGGATTCACTTAAATCGTTTCTCAAAAATTCGATGACCAGAAAAGGGGACAAACTTAACGTCTTCGAAATGTACGTTTCGATTTTATCAACCGATTCGACGGGGATTCCTTTCTCATTTAATAACTCATCCCGAAATTGCTGAAACGTTATTTTGTCCAATTTGTCTATACTGCTGGAAATCGTCTTCACCTTATCCTTGTGAATATTACAGGAGAGAAGCATGTATTCTAAGATTTTTCTGTGATTTATTTTGCAGTTAAAATTACCAATCACCTTTTTCAAGTTATTTAAAATGTCCCAGAATATGAACAGAATGTGAAAGTCTGTACGCACTATGTCATATTTTCCTACGATGTCGAAATCACACTGATAGAACTCTCTAAACCTGCCTCGGTTCATGCTCGGTTCATCTCTCCGGTATACTTTCCCTATATGAAACCTTTTTAGAGAATTTAAATTGTTTGTGTTGACAAAGCGATACAAAGGAACAGTTAAATCATATCTAAGAGATAGACTTTCCCCTCCTTGGTCCTTTAAATCGAATATTAATTTGGAATCCTCTCCATATTTATCCGTTAACGTCTCCTTAAGTTCAAAAATGGGGGTATCTATTTCTACTGCCCCGTGTAGTAAAAACTTCTTCTTCACAAAATCGAAAAAGATATTTCTCAATTGCATTTCTTCTCCTGTAAAATCTTTGGCACCTTTCGGAACTTTCAAGTTAAAATTGATATTCTTCTGGATTAGTACTTCCCCTATCGGTTCATCCAATTTGTACAGGTTTAACCTTCTCCTTAGCGCAGGAAAGGAATTATTGATAACAATTTTGTTTCCACTCATAAGTGGTATCGTCTGATTTTTCTCCCCCTCTGTTGGTTTAGAAATGTCCAATTGGGAGTCCTCCCCCCTTTCTGCCATCAGGGAGTAAAGAAAATGCTTAAACTCGAGGCACCCAACCCCTATGTGGTGAACGCCCCCCGACACTTTTTTATTTTTCAACACTTGTGCTAGCGCTTTGTTATATGCCTTTATGTCGTACATAATGTTTGTCTGAAGAATAATATCCGTCAGCAGAATTAGCAGATCGCAAAATATGCTGTTCATTTCACTAAACTTTTGCAATTCGTTGGAGAACTCCATCTGTAGAAACCTCTCTTGGATGCTCTTTAAATATTTCTCCTCATACAACGTGGAGAGGATTGAACCTGATGATGTGCTTTCATCTGCAATTGCGTCATCTAGCAATATAAATCCGTTCGACAAGGGCTTCTTCAAATTTGCGTGTTCTTCTACAATTTGCTCATTCGCCGTAACAAATTCGTGCATCTTCCCAACAAATAATGGCACCACCTTGGCTGTAATGTCAAGCACATTCTTAATGTGAACCCTAAGAGTGTCATTCATATTTTTACTCAACATGGTGATATAATTATTTAATGAGTTCATCTCGTGTGTGTACTCACTTCTATAGCTATCTATGGTGTTCTTAAAATTTTGATTTATTAGGTGCATAAAATATTCATTGTCGTCCGTTAGTTTACTTTGCGCATAGAGAAATAACATCAAGTTTGCGCTAAAACTTTTGGACAACTCCTTATTCTTCTCCACCTTAGAATCGTGTGTCATCCATTTGATCTTACTTATCAGATCATTTATCGATTGTATGTTACTATTATTCGCGTTATTGTTAAAGGCGTTTTTAAATAGGACGTCACAGTTTATGTGAAATAACTCCAGAACGTTGCACAGACAGCAGGTTAGGTACCTGCACAAGGACACCGTTTTGTAGGAATTTAAAAAAACTATGCTACAGTTTTCTAGGACAACACTGATGCACATGTTGAAATCATTCAGGTTGTATTCCAATTTGGCACATTTTTTCAAATTCGAAAGGAAGAACTGTTTTAGTACTTCACTGTGAGGGGATCCCCCTTGTGGTGGTGCACTGGGCGAGGGAGCAATTGATGAGGGACATGACCCCTCGGACCCGGAAGTACACTCCGTGGTGCTATTAATGGAGCAGCAAACGCTTTTGAGCAAATTTAAATCCAAACTGTTCTTAAATCTTAGCATATTTATCAGAAAAAAAAAGTACAAGCATTTCAATTCGTCCATGTGATAACTGCGGGATTTTCCATGCCCGGCCTGCTCTGCTTTTGGGGCTTCTCCCCCCCCTACACTTACGTTCGTCCCAGTGATGAACGATCCATGACCCTTTTCTAACTCGTCTACACTTATCTTATGCTCGTTCAATTTATAAATGGAATCTTTAAAGCTGGACGGCTCCAGCTTGAGCTGCTTCTGGTGTATGCACACATCGACCACATCTTTGGTGTTAAATATTTTGCTCTTGTAAACGCTTATGCTCATTTTTGTTGTAACACAATGTTTTCCTTTTCCCCTCTCTTGTATAATCTGTACGGGCAGAAACGAATGACACAGATTTCTTAGGTGAACATGGACTAGTGGGCGGACTTGAGCAGACATAAAAAAAGAGGGGCATCTTCTCCAAGTTCAGGGTTCACAGTTCAGTTCGAAGTGCGCTTCAAAGATCGATTCACGGTTCAGTTCACAGTTCGGTTCAGACTTTAGTTCACAGTTTGGTTCACAGTTTACAGATCATATTTCGGAGATCATGCTTCGGAGCGGTGCGTCGGTTCGTTCGAGGAGTATGTATTACGCATAAAGTATAGGCATACATACGGATGTGTTTCTTGTCGCATGTGTGCAGTTATGCATTCGTTCGCAGTAGGGAAGCGCTTACTCGGCAAGTTAGAACGTGCAACAGTGTATACGTAATTTGTGTTAATGCTTAAAATGTACCAACTTAGGGGCTGCAACACTTAAAAAAAAAAAATATAACTCGATTTTTTTCTCTTAACTAGTTGGTAAAAATAGGGTAACTGCCTCTCATCCGATATGTTTGCCTTGATTTTGCGATTCACTTTTTTTCTGTTTTCCCCAAAAGGGAGAGAAACATCAATGTAGTAGTAGCAGTATGGAAAAGAAAAAAAAATAATGAGAGGTGCTCAGTACTGGGGAATTTTATAACCATAAAACTCCGCGACCAGTGCGAAGTGCGAACTCTATGATACGGTGAGCAGTCGAGTCGAGACGTAGAACGTGGCGTTTATCAGTGAATGAGATCACATGAAAAGGGCAACATCCCTATCACATGTTTTTAAACTTCGTAGCTGACAATTTGTACGCATAAATTTACAGCGTTAATATGTTTGCAGTCTTTACGCTTTCTTTTCCCCCCTTCGAGCATTACCGTTTTGGTATTTTACTTTTTTTTCTTTTTTTTTTTTCTTTTTTTTTGACGTCATTTGCTGGTTTCATTCACCATTTGCTGGTTTCTGTCACAGGTTTCTCTTTAATTTTCCTTCGTTTTTGTAACATTCCCCGCTGTTTATTTTCCCAGTGCCCCAGAAGGTTGTTACATGTTTGCGTACATACCTGTGGCAACTCCTGCTAAATGTTTCCCCCCCATTTCCTTTGTATTTCTTCGTTATTATCCCGTCCAGTGCCTCGCATTTTTCACGCAAACGTTTTTTTACCCCCCAGATGTAACGCAATTTCTAGGAAAAGGCGAGAAAACAGGGGAGGCTTCCATGCATGTCTATCTAGATGCTCATGCTAATTCTCATGCAAATTTAAACATGCAAAAATACACGTATGCACGAAATAGGACAGAACAGACCACAAAGCAAAATGATTTTTAAGCCCCTTGCTGTTAAGACCCCCCTTTTCGAAGAGTAAGGCAACTACAGTGCCCTTTTGCGAAAGCGTCCCTGTCAATGTGAATACATCAGCAGTAACAAACAAGGGGGATTGCTTCTCCCTGCACTGTTTAAGTTCTGCTTATGGACAACTTCATATATATCCCAAATTTTAAGATAATTTTCTTTTTTTTCCTTTTCCACAATTGTGATGAGAAAAAAAATAACACTGCACTGCTAGGACATTGCGAAATGGGACCTCATTTCTTCTCCCCAAATTCATTATTTCTAATTTGTGTCACCCCTTGTTCAGGCTTCGCAAAAAAGGACTGGTGTCCATCGAGGTCGCCGATGCGGGAAATGTAAAGATTCTAACTAAAGACGATCTGGAAGGTTCACCCCAGGGAGGTGAAACGATTGACACTAACAAGCAAAGAATAAAAAGAAAAAAAATACATGGAAACAAAAATGGGAGAAAGTTATCTCCTAGTAAAAGAATCAAAAGGAGAAAACACGAAAATGTTGACCAGACAAATTGGAAGGAAGAAGACTCTAAAAAAGTTATGAAAAAGTCGTCAATTGAGAAAAGGGATCCCAGGAAGAGCACCGCTGGTAGTGAAGGCGCCCTCAAAGACATTGACAGCCGAGGAGAGGACACCCATAAGGGGTACAAAAGGAGGAAAAAAAAAAGAGGGAGAAGAAAGAAAAGGCCAAAAAGTGTCCCCATGGGATGTAATGAGGAGGGTGTTTCCATCGACCAGGCCGCGTACTCTGCCAACCCACACACCGCTTTCCGCGCAAAGGGGGAGGGCCCCAAAAGGGAAAAATTCGACATACAAAAAGTGATTCAGAATGAGGAGAACTTCAAACGTGCGGACGAAGTCAAGTATCAGGTGCACTACGTCAGGTGGAACCTGGGTGGAAAACTGAACCTCCTGTATAGCATAATGAAATCGTTACATGAAGTCAAATTCTGGAAACCAACGGAAATACAAAAGCAGACACTAGAGCACTCCATAAATTTTAAGAATGACATAATCGTAGTGTCCAAAACGGGAACGGGGAAAACACTAACCTTTTGCATACCCATATTGAACAATATAGTAAAAAACAAATTAAGGGAATACAAAAAAAGAGGAAGCTGCGTTTCCAAACTTAGGTGCATCATACTAGTCCCAACAAGAGAACTAGCCATTCAAATTTTAAGTCACTTCAGCAACATAAATAAGTACACCCACATTTACATCGCAACAATTATTGGAGGATTAAATCTTAATAAACAGAAAAGAATTATATCGAACAAACCAGAAATCTTAATTTGCACCCCGGGAAGATTGAAGTACTTTTTACTCCTAAATGATAAGATAAACTATTTGGATAAAATGAAACACGTCCGATATTTTGCATGCGACGAAATTGACAAGATGATAGAAACGTCTTTCAGGAGGGACATCAATTTTATTGCCAAACATTTGTACAAGTCCGTGGCGCAGAAGAAGAAATTTATTCAAACTTTTCTCCTTTCCGCTACTCTAGGGTTGTCCGTCCATTTGCAAAATGAAAATCTAGCCAAATTGTTAAATTATGTTACCATAAGGAAAGAAAAGTCTTGCATCATCAATTTGGCCGATGCTCATTTGGTAGACGACGCCTCCCGTGGTGAGGGACGCAGCATCCTCCCCGACGGCCTCTCCCTAAACGTGGTCAAATGCGAAAGGAAAAAAATACTACACAAGCTTTTTTACCTTCTCAAGGTCTATTTTCTTAGCGCTTCAGTGGAACACTCTCCAGATGACACCAATCAGTTAAACCGCAACAATGACAGTGCTGAAGATGGACAGGTAAAAAAAATAGTCATCTTTGTAAACACCATCAAGGAAACCAAACAGCTAAATAGCATATTTAGATTTCTATTCTTCGACCAAGGGATAGAATCATCCGTGCCAAAAAAATACCGTTGCGACATGTCGCTAAAGGAACGGATAAACATTTTCTCGATACACTCCAAACAGTCTCTCAAGGAGCGCATCCAAAGCATTTCAAAATTTTCTCAATCGAGGAACCATTCCGTTCTGTTTTGCACGGATGTACTAAGCAGAGGAATAGACTTGGACAAATGTGACGTGATAATCCAACTCAGCTGTCCCGTTTCGGATATCACCTTTGTGCATCGCTCTGGCCGCACGGCTAGAAATTTCAAGACAGGTAAAGAGTCGCCCCCTCCAAAAGAAAGCTGCATCATAACCCCATTTGTGTGAAAACCTACCCATTGTCGTAGCGTTTATTTAAACATGCGTTCCTGGCAACACTCTCATTTTTATACCCTTTCACCGCCACCCACCTAAAGGTATCTGCATCTGCTTCATCACGGACGATGAAATAGCGCGCTGGAAAAGTTCACTTAAAGAAATAGGCCTCATTCTCGAGAATCTGCACGAACTCGAAATGGTGAAGCGAATCAGCGATCACGAAGAGAACAAAATAAGCAATGCAATTCTCTGCTGTAACAAAATGGTACAATTGCAAAACAAAATAAAAGACAATAAAAATAAATCCCTTTTAAGCAAGCTAGCTAGAGAAGCCGAATTGGAAGACGAAGAAGGAAGCTCCTCAGAATCGGATAACCCATCCGGGAAAATAACAAACGAAGCCATTCTAAAGCAGTTGCTACGCCTAAAGAAAGAGCTGTACAATACACTCTACAGGGAGTAGCAGCAGTGCGAAGAAAAATAAAAAAAAGAAAAATTAATTCGAGGAACGTCGCCCCTTTCGATGATGAAAATATGTCTCTGCGCTTCGCTTTGTTGTGGATGCAAAGAAGGGAAGAAGCTTTCCCCATTTTTTAAGTAATACAATTAGAAGGAATCACTTTTTTTTTTGCCCTACTCGCTGTAACATTTTATCCGCGTCCTTTGCACCGTTACTGCCCATTTTGTTCCAATTTTTTCAGTTTAATCTTCCCACCTATTTATTCTACCACCACCCCCCTTCTATATCACTGCCCATATGGCATGCTTCCAGTATGTGTTTGCACCTTTCATGTTATGTTTGCCTATGCAATTTCTTTTTTTTTCACACCGCCGATTTATTCGAAAAAGTAAACATATTCTCTTCCTTAGCATTTGGAAAAAAAAAAACAAACAAGGGTTTTCAACACATTAGCAAATCGTGGGGGGAAATCTTCGCTCCCTTGTGCCTAAATAACCCAATGATTCTCAATCGTCTCCCCATAAGGATGACATGATGAAGTAGTACAAAATTGAAGCGGTACATCCCCCTTTGAGGCAGCGCTCTCCCAAGCTTTGAGTGACACACTTGAGGGGGTCGCTCTCCATCCTAAGGGATATAAGCGCACAACATAGTCCCACGTACAGCCTATGCTCCAACAGACGGCCTTAGAAGCAGTATAATTCTCCACACCTTCACCACTCCGTTCCGTCCGTTCTGACAAACGAAGGAGTCTTTGAACTTGACAGATGAATATCTGTTAGAAGCCACTTGAGCAATTCCACGTGAGTGATATTTTTTCCAATAAAAAATGTTCATATGCTGTATTCCACGTTTAGATAACTTAAAACTGTGGGGGTGCTACAATAAATGTACAAATATTTATCCTGCGTGAATGGAAACTTTTTTTTTTTTTTTTTCCTCCTGCGACGGTGACATATTAAGCGTTCGTGCCTCACTTTTTGAGAACGCGTTTCATTTCACTGCGCCATTCAGTTCACCCCTCTCCCGCTTGTACACATGAGAATCTGAATCGGCTGAGCTACAAAGAATCAGCTGTTTCACTGATGAGGTGCAGAGTGGCCGTTTTTCCCCACACCTAATTTTGGTCTCCCCCTGGGGTAGTACTGGTGCTGCTCATCGATGTATGTACCAGCTCATTTATACATACGGAAGTGTCTCTTCTCTGTGTTCCTTTCCCCCCCTTGTGAGAAGCCTAACTCGAGTGGGGAAGAATGAGCGCACAGAGCCGATTGCCCCTTTTTGTCCTATGCCCTCCTTTTCCGCCCCCCTCTGGCTAAAACGAAAGATGAAGACCCCCCTGGGATCTATGCGCCCATTCAATACGTACAACATTCCGTCCATTATCAACAACACAAAGGTGCACAGCACGTATAGAGAAAATCAGAGACGAAATGAAGACGACTTGAGGAAGATTTACAACAAAGAGTTGGTGGCATTCCCGTATGACGAGGAAAGATTTAATAAGCTGCTAAATATTCAAGGGATGGTGAGAAGAAAAAATGTTGCTGATTTTTTCTTCAATCCAGACATGTACATCAATGTGAAGAATGACAGAGTAAGAAATGTCACGCCTTCCCATTTCGCCATTGAAAATGTGGATAAGTGCTTCCTATTCCAGAAGGAGCAGTTGGACGGGTTTTTCCCCGAGGGGCTTGGCGGGGAGTTGCCCAAGGATATCTTGATGAACGATGGGGGGGGTGACGATTGGGAGAGCGGCACGCAAGCCAAAGGAAAGGAGGCCTTCCCCAATGGTGACCACCAAAATGATAATCTCGACTTGTTTCTTCGCGAACTGGAAAGGAATGACATCGTGCCAGATCAACGTTTAATAAAGAATGCGCAACAGTTGAAGGGAGTAGGACTGCTGTTCAGAAAATTGGCGTACGAAATTGTAGAAGAGTTGAAACACTTTGAAGAGAATTACAAATTCAGCAAGCGGAGAGATTCATACAAGCTGGATAGCTATTTTTCGCAAGGAGATGAATGCGCTAGTTACTACCATGGTGGTGATGCGAATGGAGACCCCACTGACGAGGTGTACAGAAAAAGGGACAACTCCAGGAGCAACCACGGTAGCCTCCCCAGCAGCGGCTACAACGGGATGTCCTACAAAAGTAGAAGCTTCCTAATAGACGGAAAGAGGGGAACAGGAAAGAGCTGCATCCTGAATACCATCGTCCTTTGGGCCAAGTTAAACCAATGGATGGTTATCTTCGTGCCAGATATAAAAAAATACAAATTCGACATTAACACCATTGTTCGAAGCAATACGAATTTGTACATTCAGCCAGAACTGAGTAGACAATTTCTGGAAGACTTAGTAAAAACAAATGAATCATTTTTAAAAAGGTTAAAAGTTGATAAAGGAATTCTCGAAAATACCTGCCTAGATGGAACACATTTATTGTACAACAAAAAAATTTATGATGATATTATCAGAAAAACGATCGATGCGGAAGTAGCAAATGATGAACAAACTTATAATGCCTTAAGTGAAAAGGAAAAAAATTTGTACATGCAGAAATTGTACAAATTTTACTATGACAATGTAAAGATACCCAACCTATTGGATAAATTTTCAATGCCCCCTAATTTGTTAGAATTAGCACACATTGGCATAAATAATGTGTCATATGCCAACCTTTGCATCTATGCATTGTTTGAACATTTTAAGAAACAAACTGAATTCCCCCTTCTCATAGCTGTCGATCAGTTCAATTTCAACCTTAGTGTCTCAGAATATCTTTCCATAAATTTTGAAAATACAAAATATAATGGGTACATTCCTACGTACTATTTTACTATTCCCAAATTGCTACTCAAGTGGGACGCCAATAAATATAAAAGGTGCGTTAAAATTGCTTCCACCTGTTGGGACCGAGAAAATAGGAGAAACTTCAGGCCAGAACTCCTGGGCATACACAAAAGGGACGTTAAAACCGCTCGTAATTTCACCCTGCGCGAGTTTAAGAATTACGTTTCCCATTTGTACAACCAGAACGTCATATACAACTTCGATGTGAACAAGCTGGAATACTTCTACATGCTAACTGGTAGGGTCATTCTGTTTGTCCGCATCTGGAATTCTCCCATTTGGGGACACGTGGAAAGAAGAGGTTTCCCTGAGTTGTGCACATAACAGGGGCATCCATCTGAGAGCCACTTCGAAGCTTAATTTTTTTTTTTTTTTTTTTTTTTTTTTTAGGAGGAAATGGCTTTCAGGCAAGAAAGCTCTTAACCACATTGTATTGACTCGTCCTACACTGCTTTTTCCATACGCAAACCACTGACTTGTTATCACAAATGAAGAAACACCCCCTCAGTTATTTTTTCCCATTTTTTGCACCCCATGAGTGATTCTTAAAAGCTATTTTGGACAGATACAATAATAATCGGCACTTTTTCTTTTTAACGCACCGTCGAAGCGCACCTACCTCTGCATTTTTTTGTTTGTTCCTACATTTCAGCCCTTCTCTTTTGTGTATCCTTTTTTTGCATACCTTGGATTACGTTGCACTTCGTCACAATTCTATTTTTCTTTTTTTTTTTTTTAATCATCCCAAGTACTACCTCATAGCGCAGAGGCAACACACACTATTGACTAAAGCAATTATTCCGCAGCGCATTACTTTTTCTCGCGTGATGAGCTAGCGTTACATTAAAACAAAAAATTAGGGAATATATGATGAATTAAATCCGTGTGCAGAAAAATGCAAACCCATGTAGGTACATATAAAAGTATAACCATATGCACATTCGCAAATTTGCACATGGGCCCCCTTGTGTACACAAAATTTTAGGGCCCCACAAGATAAACAAAAAATACAATTACGGGGTTTAGGACCCCGTGATGATATATTTATCTTCTATGGAGACCATATCTGTGTACAGGTCTTCACACGGGGAGGAGTAGAAAAAAAGAAACATTAGCATATATACGCCGTGGCAATTTCAAAAAATGCCATTCTTTCTGGCACCCCCACCCCGAAGAGGCGCATACGCTGATAGGGATAAAACGAGTGGGAGACAGTGTTAAAATCACAAATAAAGAAAAACTCAAGGTGAATTAAATAAATGGGAACAAACTGGATGAGTAAAAAATAATTACATTTGCTTAAATCCAAATGGGAGGAAGGAAAAAAAAAAAAAAGGAAAAAACGAGGAGAAAAAAAATAGAATTACCTAAAAATGGGTTGTCCTCCTTGGAGTGTTTTTCTCCCACTGCGTTTGAGGTGTGCCCCCAATAAGGAATACCATAACCACCGCTACATCACGCCTAGAAGTATGCATAACTCTGGTGCAGAAATCTATGCCTCAGGAGCTGGGCGGGAGTCGACCTCAGCGCGGGGTCGATATGCAAGACGCTATACAAGAAGTCGCAAAACAAATCATTCCTTATAATTTTGTGCAGAGGCAGGCACCTCCTTACGTATTTAATTGACTCAAAACTAGAAGCATTTTCTGGCCAGGCCAATCTAAGACCATCCCTATTTATAAATTTTGCCCCATTTGTTCTAAGCGCCCCGCATATCATTTTTTTGGGGATTGGCTCAATGATAGCTTCCATCAGGGCTAAGTGTTCTAAATGCTCATGGGTTCTAAACAGAAGATCCCCTGTGTACATTTCAGCCAACACACAACCAAAACTCCACATATCACTTGACACATCCCATCCTAAATTTAAGATAACTTCCGGAGCACGATACTGTCTTGTGTTGATAATAGACCCATGGTATCCATCGTTAAAAGTGGCACAACCAAAATCGATTAATTTGATGCCCGTAGATTTGGTTCTATAAATCTGAACCCTCTTTCCATCTGTAGCTCTTCTAACACTCACTAAGGTTTTCTCAAAATATGGGTCGTCTAGTAAAATATTTTCTGGTTTCAAATCGGTGTGTGTTAAAGCTATTTTTCGGAGGTAATTTAATGCCTTCAACATTTCAATGCAGTAGAGCTTGATGTCCTCCAAATGAAATCCGTTGTAGTTATTCTTGGTGATGATTTCGTAAAGAGATGGCCCCAGGGGTTCGAAAACCAGACACATGTGATCATAGTACATAAACCTTCCATGATATCTTACAATATTATTATTTTTAAAATCATCAGTTTGGATTTTCTTCAAAATATCTGCTTCTATCTTTGCAGATTTGGTATACCTCTTAATATTTCGTACTACCTTCACCGCGTAATACTTTTTTGTGCCCATGTGCTGACAGAGAAGAACTCGCCCGAAGGTTCCCTCACCCATTTTTCGTATCACCACGTAACATTTGTTTAGGATCATTCCCTTTTTCCAATTAAAATGTACAATTTCGTCATCTGAGTCTTCGTTTTCTTTTTTTTTCTTCTTCTTCCTATCGTTATTATCTTCCATATCTGAGATTTTTGTTCGGTTTCTTTTGTGATTGTATTTTTTTATCGACGATATATCATCCGTTGATTGGTCCGAGTGGGTATACTTGTGGGACTCACTACTGTACATATCGGCATGGTGTTCTTTTTTATTTTCAAGTGAGGAGTAGATGCTGCCTCTTCGTGACAAAGCACTCGTGCCTGTTTCGTCATTGCTGATGATGCTATCTCTTCTTCGCCTTCTTGGTTGCAAGCTCCCTCGTCTGCTTCTTCGCCTACTCCTTCGCCTTCTCCTACGTCCACTTCTCGTACCTCTATAACTGCTAGGTGCCTGTTTTCTTTTCCGTACCCCTCGTGTGTACTTACGGAAGGACTGCTGTGAGCCTTTTTCCTTATTAATGCACGCGGCGAGATGCCTCCTACTTTCCATAATTCCATCCCTCACATTCCATTTTCCTGTGCCATCATCTCGCGTCGTATCGCTATTTTTTAACTTGAATGATTTATGCGTTTTGTCATCCTTGTCTTTATAGGTGTATATTCTCATCGCGGTAGCTGCACTCGTTGGACTGGTTGTACTTGGTCCCCCCCCCGAACTCCCTGTCTCCTTCGGATGCATAGCGGTCGCTTTACACTTTCCATTTCGGTTGGAATTTTTCTTTTTATTATTCATCCTGTCCGTGTGTCCATTATAGCTTCTCGAATCTGTTCTAAAGCCATTTTTATTGCCATAATACATTTTCTTCTTCTTCAACGTAGTGCCGTCGTTAAATAGGTAATATTCATTATTGTAAAAGATGTTCCCCTGTCCAAAGTGGGTGTCGTAGTTTCTCTTATCACTATTGTACAAATTCTTTTTGTACGAATAGTAGTTTCTTTTTCTGGTATACTTAAATCCTTTTAGATAATTATTTTGATGCTCTTCGTGCTGGTACTTGGATTCTAGATACACCTTATGGTGTCTTTGTTCTTTGTCATTTATCTCCCTCATGGACGAGTATCTCCGTTTCCTCGCATTTTTATACGTTCTGATCATATTTTCGTCCACGTCATAGTTTTTAAATTTCTTAAAGAGCTTTCCTTTCCGACTGGAGTTGCTCGTAGTGTTGAAGCTCCTTATTCTTTTCCCCTTCAGGAGCTTGAAGCCGTTCCTAATGCGGTTGTGGTACGCATTCTTGTATTCGTTGCTGTAGGCATTGCCGAAGCCTCCATTGTACAAGTGGTTATGCGAGTCGTCGTACCCGGTATGGTACGAATTTTGGTAAGAATTTTGGTAAGAATTTTGGTTCGAATTTTGGTAGGAATTCTGGTACGAATTTTGGCAGGAATTCTGATACGAATTTTGATACAAATTTTGGTACGAATTTTTGTGCACATTTTTATATGAATTCCTGTAAGAATTTCTGTACGTGCTGTTTTGCAGGTTCCCCTCCCGATTGCGGTAGCAGTAATTGTTGTTTCTTCGAAGGTCATTAAAATGCTTGCCGTTGAGGCTATCCTTTTGCATATTTCGAAAACCCATATACTTGCCTTTTATATCGCTTATATAACTCCTGTAATAATTATATTCTCTATATTTACTGTTGTATTTTTCACTACCTTCCTTGTAGTTCTCTTGGATCATTATAGTTTTTTTTTTATTTTTTTACTCAAAAGAAAGGAAAAAAAAATAGCCATCAGAACAGTACTTTTTTATTTTATTTTTTTCCAAATTGTTTCCCTGGGCCTATTGCTTTTTTGTGAGAATTAAAGATACATAGGTATGATTATATGCATATACATAAGTATAGAACTGATGACTTTCCATTTACTCGGCGCGTTTGGAATAGGGACGGAGTTTACATGAGAAAGTGGGGAACATATATATGCATTATACATAGAAATACTTCGCCCATGCGCATCGCCTACATACAATGCGTTTATGCTCTGCCTTCCCGCGTGAACAGCCTCTTACGTTATATGCACGGAGCAACGCCAGCAGAGCACTCCACAACGCAATGTCATTTGCCCATATATGCATATGGCCTATGCTACATGGATGAAGCTAATTCCACATACGTTACTTTCACATGACTGCACTTCTTTTCGCCAATGCGCAATCAAGGAGATCGGCGAAGAGCCTCCCACTTTTTTAAAAGGGAAGGAATTTTCTGAACTTGGTAAAAGTGGTATGTATGACTGGACTGAGTTGGGAAAAAAATTGCGCAAAAAAAAGGAGAAAAAAATGACAAAAAAAAAATGGCAAAAAAATGGCGAAAAATTGACGAAAAGAAGAATGACGAAAAAAGCCAAATGAAGGAAAAGGAAAAAGAAAAGGAATACGGAACAAAATTGCATACCCTACTTTGCGTTCGCAATGCTGATATATTTTCACATTTATTTATTTATTTTTTGGGGGGGATTTTAAAAAAGATGACTCAAGATGAAATCACTCCATAGGCACACTGTGAACAATGTAAAAAAAAAAAAACAAAAAAGGAAAATAACCATTTCGTCATAATGAAACATGCCTTTTCCCTAACAATGTTATTTTGTAAAATAGGTACATATAAACAGAGACAACAGTTTTTTGACACAATTATCCTTCCTGGGATCATAATTCCATGGCTGTACAAAGCTGGCCGCGCAGAAGTGTATATATGTATTATAACATTTATATTTGTGTCACCGTACATCTTTCCTCATTTCCATGTGGTCATCATATGCATATTCAAATGTACATGGGGAAAGTTATAGCGATTTTTCCGCCTACTTGAGAAAACAGAATGCTGAAAAACAGAAACAAAAAACGCAGTGCCCTTCACATGCAAATTTGGTCGCTTCTCCATAGTGTAATTTACGACAGGGTTTAATTTTCAGTTCGCATTTCGAAAATTGCGTGCGTCGGGAACAGTTTTTACCTTTTGCCTTTTAATTTTTTATTTTCATTTTGTCATTTTTTGCAACTTTTCGCAATTCCGGTTATTTCTTTTTTCTAATTTTTTCCCTTTTCACGCCGCGAAGCACAATTTGAAAGATGCATAAATTGCGGAAAACAAATGCGAGTAAGAAAAACAAATAAATGTTGAAATGGTGAAAACGCGGCTGCTTTTTCTACTCGCATGAGTTATTTTCTCATACGCTCATTAAATTTGTATTTATAAAAAAGATATATTTGAAATACTGTTTCCCATTTGATGGTTAACACGTACTTCAATTTTATGCGATCGAGTGGAATGAATTCAAACGCGATTTTCTTCTGCATTTCAAAGAAGTATACTATATTTTAAGAAAGAAAAAAAAAAATGATGCGAAAAATTCGATGAAGCGGAAATAATCACATCATTTCGATTGTGGCCCCTTTTGTGGAACTCCCAGGGTAATGGAAGTGCGCTACTTTTAGCGTTAATGGGAAATCTCCCAATTCCTCGTTCTGTTTCGTGTACAGATTTACTGCACATGCATACCTGCGCATTAGATTTTAATGACACAGAGAAGAGAAGCCATTATTTGTATGTAATATTGTCACCTTAGCAACTCTGTAACCTCACAACTTCACAACATTGTGTGTTTTTTTCCACAAGGATAATGTTCCATTGCAATGGTTTCTTTAAAACAGTGGTAGATCAGCTTTAAGCCAGGCTGGCAAATTACGGGGAATATTCTCCCTGCTTTGGATGAGCAGCCAAAAGGGGAACATGTTTCACATGCAAAATTATCACGCGTGTAGCTATTTTTAAGAAATGCGCTGAAGGCGACGATACGATGAGAAAAGGAGAAAGGAGAATTTTCAACAAACTGGTAGCGCTTTGGTAACTTATTTATGCAGCACACGTGCTACATTCAGCGTAGCCTATCTGCACCCCTTTTTTAACGCCCTAAAGGGTAAAAAATACGTACCAAAAAAATGTGCACGTATAGGTAACTCCAAATTTTGTCATAGCCCCTAACCTTTTGATACCTATCTTAAGTGAAAGAAATTTAAAATGGGAAGTTCATTCAGACGAAATTAATCGAATAATTTGTCTTTCGTATCTCCGAAATTTTTTCAAAAAGGAAAGTACGCAATTGCTCAAGTACGGACGGAACAGTAACCAAATTTACGTTTCCATATTTGAAAGAGTACAAATTTGAGTAGGCACCTGAATTCACCGTTTTCCAAAATTCCCGACTCTTTAAAAAATTCATTCGAATGGACCAAAAAAAAAATGACAACTCCCCAGGGTACAAGAAAGACGGTACACTAGAAATAGAAAAAGATGACCATTTAGAAATTCTTAAAAATTTAAACTCGACCATTAAAGAGTTTCAAAAGAATTTTGGACTACTAAACAAGCATTATTCGATAAAAGATTTAGAAAGTATGTTAAACCCTGTGCAGTATGCTGAATACAATTCATTTCTTGCCTACTCCATTTGTTCTATTTTTCATTCCTATTTGAAAATATCGGGCAACTTTCTCACTAACCACCCCATTAAAAATGAATTAAAAAAGGTACAATTATTGATGAAAGAAATAAAGGAAAAAGAACAAGAAAATAATCAAGATAAAAGATCTCTCACAATTAATAAGGAAGCCTCGAAAAGGATAATTGATTCATGCATTTCATACAATAAGGATTTAAAAAAAAGAAAACATTTTAAATGAACACAATTCTGAACTTTCCTCCCCTTTTTTAAATTTGAGGGAAAAGTTTCACCCTGTACCGCGGGCATATTTTTACGTGCCACTCACTGGGAGAAAAAAGAAGAAATAGTTAGCGGTTCAACGAGGCAAATGCGCAGCTGGCTATTAACAGTTAGCAAAAAGAGTGAATGCCCTACGAATAATTTTTTTTATTTTACATAGAGCTGGTGGCTTTCAATTTTTTAAAGGTCATTTGTGTCGGACGTTCGGCAGTGTGCTCATTCGTTCGTTCGTTATTTTTTACCCCTTTGGAAATAATTTTAAAGTCGTAAATTTTCAATCAATTGGGTGACACTTTCGTTTGATCCGTTGTTTGCTTGTTTGTTTGCTTTTTTGTTTCCTTGTTTGTCTGCTTCTTTGTTTGCTTGTTTGTTTTCCTTTTCCCTTCCTTGCCTTTTTTTGGTATTTCCGTACATTTTAAGAAGACACCTATTTGAGAAAACCATTTTGAGAAAACAAGAAATTCTCCGCTTATGCAAATTCGAACCCTGCTCACATTTATAACGTACGGTTTTCATTCCAATTATTTAGCCACATTTGGCATTGTGTGTAAAGCACTTGCTTGCATCGATGTACTCATTAAGAATTAACGAATTTGCTTTTTTCAACATGTTTTTAAAGAAACGCCGTTTTGCTTTTTAAAGCATGAATTAGGCGGTTCCACATCCTTCACTCTTTTAAGGAGCCCAATTCGGTATATTCTTTACGCACGCAAGGATATTCTTACACACGACTCGTTAACCCCTTTTGTCATTTATCCATCATTTTGGCAAAATGAAAAAACAGGCAACGCATTTTAAATTAGATAATTATGGTCTCCTGTTAGACGTGTGGCGCGTACATTGTATGTATATGTCGCATTGGAACACAAAAATTTCGTTATACATGCCTACGTATGCACATGTGCATATATATATATGAAAATTTTTCCCTTTCGCAGACGCCCCAAAGAAACGGCTGTCCCTTACATGATCACTTTGTACACCTAATTTTTCTTTACATTTGACAGCAGACCAAATGAGCAGTTATAGAATCACAACGAATTTTACGAAATTGTCCCTACACTGCGCAACGGTGGCTAAACAAAAAAGCTACACACAACAGTATTTTTCCACCCCCGTAGGGTTAATAAAGAGTAAGATGTTAACATACTTAAACGTATCCACATCTTTCCACAATAATCCCTTTCTTGTCAATTTTCCATATGTCAAAATTAAGAAAAAAAAAGGCGTTTGGGAGACAGCACGTCGTAACAATCTAGGGAATGCAGCACGTCTTCTTAGTTTGCCCCCAAAATATGAACTGATATGCACTCACAAAAAATACGCCACCGATGATACGTACTGTTCAATTCTTTTGAAAATTCACCCGAAAAGGTTATACAGATATTTAACTCTTTTATGTGTGTGAAATGAAAATGCGCAAACGTGTGGCACTAAAGCTACATTGTGTACCAATATATATTATGTGCGGGGATTATCATTTAAAATTTTCTTCTTTTTAACACTTTCTTCAAAAGTGAGAAAACGTGCACAATTGCTACATAAGCAGTGAGGAAAGCAAAAATGTCTTTGCGAAGAAAGCGAGCCAAGGGAAGGTTAAAATGCTCAGTGCGAAAAAAAAAAAAAAGCTGCTGCAAAAATCGCACCTTTTAGCGCAAAAATGATATATAAGCAAGTTTTCTGCCAAGAAACGCATGTCGAACTGTTTGGCATTTTTATGGTACAATTATGAGGCAAATAAATGCAGTGAATAACCCTCCCCTTTCGCAAAAACGGCCAAAAAAGGGGAAAAATAATGCTAAATAATTTTGGCAATTTTTCCTCCCATGAGCCATAAAATTGGTTATTTTTATTTTTTTACCCATTTGTATGACTAACAAATAAACATATGACGAAAATATTTATGCAGTGGTTCTCAGGAAAGTTTGGCCCACCAGCCAGCAACATCAGATTTTTTTGAAAATATTTTTTTTTTTTTTTTGGTGCGTTTCCATGCACGTATAAAGCCTCCCCTTTGCTGACAGCTTGTGGCCTGATTTTCGCTGCAATTATGCAATAATTTTTGTACGGCAAAAATTAAAGCTATTTCCGTTCTTCGTAAAATTTGTTTCATTTTGCTTTGATTTGTTTTGCTTTTGCTTTTTTTTTTTTTTTTTTTTTTTTTTTTTTTTTTTATTTTATTATATCTTATTCAATTTATTTTTTTTGTTCATTTTATTTTTATTTTTTCCTTAACGCTTGTTCATGAGGGAATTTTTTATATAAATTCCAAAAAAACATTTTTTAAATCAGATAACCGCATATAAACGCATAAAACGGATTACAAAATAAATATATGAAACGAAAACCTTTATTTATTTCTTTTGACCGCCATATTTCCAAATGTAATATATATGATGCAAGTATTATATGTTCATTCGTAAATTTTATTTATATCATCTAATTATCCACTTACATGCCTGGTTGCCGCATTTTCCGCTCCATCCCATCACATTCATTCTCTTCGCAAGTTGTACGTACATACCTTAAATGAAAAGTAAGAAACATGAATAGGAATTTTCTTTAAATCGAGTCAACTCAACTTCCGAGGCGTACTGCGGCAGAGTTTTTAAGAAATATGTAAACGCGTAAAATGGCAGAATTCAACATTTAAAAAATAATATTTCCTTTTTGCTTTGAACCCAGCCTTTTTTTTTTTCGTGATTGTAATAAGTAAATTAGTATATATAATAGTATGCATGCCTTCTTGCAACGCAGTAACGCTTAAAAAGATAAAAAATGTAGATTGTCATCGAAAGGAGGCAAATGACATTTGAATGCGAAATTCAATTACAGAATTCTCCCAATAGCAAAAACATATATAAAGAAAAAGGTTCACGTTAGAAGAAAACCTTAAATGTGATATAAGCCGAATTGCATTTGTTTATTTTATTTATTTTATTAGTTTTTTTTTTGCGTATGTTTTTTTTTTTCCATAAGATAATAAGGCTGCTGATGCTTTGCATTTTAAATAAATACGATTATCTAAAGCGTAAAACTAACTTTTGCTTAGCCAACGCGAAAGCTACAAAATGACGTTTAAATTTAAAATTGAATTTGTATAGGCAAGCTTGTATTATTACTCTGTAAATGTTCTGTTTTTTTCCTCCATTTAATGTGTAAAGCATAATAAAAATACAGTATACCTGAAAAGAAGCATAGCAATTAAGCATATTTGAATATAGCGAACCAGCACACACACACATGTATTATGTATGTATATATGTGTATGTATATATGTGTATATATATTTATTTATATATACCTATACACAGCTTCATGCCTGCACATTTGTATATATTCCCCTTCACTTTGCGGATTTGTATACACAAGGAACACTGCTATTTCATTATTACATCTAGTGGGAACACTCGATTGGAACGGTGCCCCTTCCCCCCTCCTTGCACATCCTTTAAAGTGTAGGGCCATTTGTATACGCATCGCACCTTTGTGGAATAGCAAAAGGAAAATTATTTGAAATTGAAACAGAAAAGGAGAGGCGCACTTCTTCGTGTTCGCACAAATAGAATAGAAGTGTTTACATATACAATTCACACGTGCCCCTACGCGCGTACGCCCAAGCATAATTATACGTGCATGAATGAGCATATGTGTATGTATATACATGTGCGAGTAAGACAAATAACACCGGAGATTACCACACAATTTGCAGGAAAGCATCCAAAATTAGACGTATCTCTATTTTTTCTCACAATTTTATTCTTTTTCCAATCACCCTAGTGCATATTTACGTGTATTTGTAACCATACACATAGTACACACACGCACACGCACTCTCTACATTTTAATATATACCAGAAGGGATAAGAAAATATTTCAGAAATATTTTTTGCGCGTATAGCTAAGAATAATACAACAAAAGCATTTTCCCCAGTGCAACGTTCCAAATTCTCCATAGGAAATTAGCCTTCGTCGATTTGTTAACAAAATAAGTAAAAAAAAAAAACCACACAAAAAATAAATCCTATATTTTTTTTTTTTTTTTTTTTTAATATCCTTTTATATTTTATAACCCCTTCAGTGGGAAATAATTTATAAAGTTTTAAAAAAAAAAAAAAAATAAAATAAAAGGACAGGGAAACGGAAAAGTTTGATAAAGGGACAACAAGAAGGTTCATTTCGTTACGGGCATTTCCAAATGACGTATCTTTTTTTTTAACCTTTTTTTTTCTCTCTCTGTAAATTTTCGACTAAATGACCGATGTGCAAATACAAAATCAAACTAGTTTGAATACTAGTAAAAAGCAGTTTGAGAGTAGATATGATGAAAGGGCGCTTAGAATTCTATGCGTAAAAAACATATCAAAGGAGACAAGAGAAAGTGAACTGTTGGACTTATTCAAACAATTTGGTTCTATCGAAAGTATAAATCTGAAAGTGAACTCAAGTATCGGACCGTATGCCGTATATGCCCACGTTCTGTTTAGCGCTCCCGAGGAGGCTAAAAGATGTCTAAAGCAAATGAACGGGAAGTTTCTAAGTAATCCTTCATGCGAATAAGTTTCGCGTGTGACTGTAACTGTGGCTGTGACTGTTTGGGAACTTGCTCTTTTGGCCACCTGCTCTTTTGCTCCGTTTCTCCCTTTTTCGTATCTTCATTTCTTTTTTTTTTTGCGTTTCCCCTTGGTCCTTTCATCCGCCATAGCACTCATCTGGGCCATCTCTGCGATAGCGACCAAGAGCACAGCTTCAGCCGTACTGTTGCACCTATCGAGTTATTCAAATGATCACCCTCTGCATTCCGCTGTGCTCCGCAGTTTTGTCTCACGTTTTGTTACATCTTCAATTCCCTGTGCACAAAAAAAGATTCCCTATTAAGTCGACAGCTAGGAACACAATACTCCACTTTTTTTCCTAATTATGTATTTCTGTAGATGGAAGAGCTTTGCGAATTGACTTCAAAAGGTACAACAATAAAGTAGATGATGATAGCGATGAGGACGAAAGTGACTTTTTTAATAACTACCCATACCTGGGCAGCAACAACGACAATGGGTACAATAATGGATACAATAATGGCATCCATAATGGCGGAGTGAGCAGCAGTGCAAACATGGCCAGCCCTGCGAGTGGCAGCAACAAGTTCAACCGAAAAATTAATCGGAACAAACAGTTATACAACAACAGATACCCAAATAATAACAAGCGCATGGCGAGAAATGTAATTTTGTGTGACAGTTTAAGGGGCGGTGTTCTAATTATTTTCCCCATTTTTTCTTTTTTCCTCCCCCCGTTTAGTGCATATCCTTAGGTTTATGCTTCTTGTGTGCGTCTCCAGATATCTGCACACCGCTGTGAGCATTTTCTTAAAATTTTTTTTTGTTTTTTTTCTTTTTTGTCACCTCAGGATGGCATCCTAAATGACGATAGCGTTAACCCGTACGACTCGGAGGCGAGCGGTTTTAGGGAACACGAGGTAGGATTTTTACACAGCATTAAGAGTTTTGCGATTTCGCACATGCGTTATGTTACTTATTCCCATTTCTGGCCAACTCTGCTCATTTTTTTCTTCTTTTCTTCTCCTCCAAAGCATCCAAATAAGCGGTTACGCACGGGTCGAAGCAACTCTATGGAGAACGTGAATTTGGGCAGCGCGAACAGTTTGACCGGCATCCCCAATATAAACGATAACGACGTAGAGATCAACAAGGTGATAAAGACGTACGAAGAGAATAAACCGCTAAATAAATCAATCGGGGAGGCAAAAAATAGGCAAGTGGAAGAAATGTTACAGTCCGTAATTAATGATGGCATGAACAAACCCCTCAGGATAAAACTGTACTTGTGTGACCATTTGAGGCAGTGCGCCCCGCACGTCTTTAACAGGCCCGCCATCGACATCAGTGCGGCAAGTAATACAATAAACAACACGCATAGTAGCAATGTGGTTAGTAACGAATTCAAGGGGAATATCCACATGAACGCATGTAACACCAACCCAGGTGGAGCTCTCTACCACTCCGAACAAAATAACCTTTTAACGGCGAGGATGAATTCCTCAACGTTGAAAGAACCTAGCAAGCACTACATGCTGAACAATGGGATAGCACACAAGGAAGGGCAGCTCCAGGCAAATGACAAACTCTTAACTGCCATGCATAGCGGTGGATGTGCCACCCCCAACATGGGATTGAACAATCCCATTAGCAATGTGAAGTACGCCCTGTGGAAAGGAACCGTCGAAATGAAGAATAAAGAAAGTCTCAGCGTCATCGGATATGCCCTAAACGGGGACGTAAAAAAATTTCTTAACAATAGCATCTCCAGCTTAGTCATAAGTCACCGGAAAAAAATGAAAACACTTCCCAAAATAGAAGCCACGTATTATTTCCAAATAGAGAATAAAGAAGACGAAAATATTTTGGATGCCTATAGAAACTATTTTAACAGTAAAGATAGAGTTGGATTGTCCTCCACAAGTGACGACTGGCATATGTATCTTATCTTCCCAGGAAGTCCCATTTTTAAAGAGTTCTGCAACTGCGTTGGAGGTATCAGCAGCTTTGGTGGTGGAAACAGCTCAAACAATTTCAATAATATCTTCTTGGGCGTTGTGTGTTATAATCCACAATTTTTCGATAAAAAAAATGGTATAGCATTGTTGGGCACGCAACCTCAAGATGGCGTTGCTGCTCAAGGTGGCATGGCTGCTCAAGGAAGCACAATTGCCAATTTTAACAAAGAACAATCTCCTATGACCAATGTCCACCAAACCCATGTGAACAGAAATTTTCAAAATTTGAACAATCATCATCAGAACAGGTTTACCAGCTCAGTTGCAGCATCGGTGGATGGTGCAGGGAGAGGGATGAAAAGTGACATTAAAGGAAACAACCAGAGTAGCCTTCATGGCGATTTTGCTAAGCAGGGGGGAGGTGGCCCAAGCAATGCAGTGAATAATAATTTTCCTCTTCACAGTAAGACGTCCAATAACGCGCAAGGTGTTAGGAAGAATAACATCCTTGTAGCTAACAACATGCCCCACGGAAGCAGTAACAACCATGGTGGGTTCCCCAATGCGAACATGTCCGATGCAAACACAACAGTGACAACACAAGTGGTGCAAACCCCCAGTGATGCCAAAGCCCAAAAAGGGAGCATGGAAGCCCAGAATAATTCTACCACCCAGGTGAAGCAGGAGAATGACACCTCCAAGGAGTTAAGCGAACCAACTCGAAAGGAAGAAAACAAAAATGAAGTCCCCAATTGGCTCAATCAGTTTAGTTCATTAGCAGCATATCTTGTTAAAAAATAGGATTAAAAAAATGTTCCATCTCGCTTTATCATTTTACCTCCGTGGATATTTTTTTTTTTGTCACTTTTTTTTTTGTTTGTCACGCCCCTGGTGGATTGTATCTCAGTTTATAATCAATGTGTGTAAAGAAAGAAACGATTGAGCTTCCAATTATTTTTACTTGTGGCGTACCAGATAAGGGAAGGAAAAAGGAAAGGTCGGGCGGATGCATAGTAATTCCCAGAGTAGAAATTTAAGAACCAGTTTGAAAGGGCACCCCACCTCCCCCCAAAAAGCGTGACTGTCCCCTACCCTTAAAGCCGCAACCATTTCGTGAAAAAGAAATCACTACAATTCGGAGGATCTCAAATTAGTCCATGAAGAGGAGGAAGACGCGGAAGATGCGAAAGAAGATGTTGCCCAGGAGTGCATAAACGCAAGCCTATAAAATACGTAGGTGTGTCTATTTTTACAGACAGTATAAACCATTTGCCTGTGGGAGAGGGGAAATTAATAACGACCCGATGCAGTCCTCCACATGTACGTACATACGTGCGTACACACCTATTCGTGTGCTCATTCGTCATCAAAATGGTTATGACTACTTGCGAAGAGCAAACCGAAATTGTCGCGTGTTTTGTTCGAACGCATTTGTTATTCGATGAGTATGCACTTCCTTTTTTTCTTTTTTCTAATATTAAAATATAGAATTTTTTTTTTTTTTTTTATTTATCCTTTAGTTTTATTCTATATTATATTCGTTTTTTTTTATTATTTTTTTTTTTTAAAAAAAAAAACCTTTTATTATTAAACAAAATTAAGATGTTTTAATTCTTTCCCATTTTGATAATGTGAACCAAAGGGGAGCACGCCTGAAAAATGGAAACACTAGGGGGGAAGAGGTTTTTTTTTACGTGCCACGTGGTACCACCTGTTGATATTGTCCCTTCCCGTCTTTCACTTAACATATGTGTGATCATCCTCGTGATGTATACCACAGTGGATTTCTCCAAATGGATGGCATACGATACATGTTATAGCCCCGGTAACCCAAGTAACAACTTGCACATTTGCTCAAATTTTTTTGCGCACATTGGGAAAGAGAAGGTAGTCACAAATTAGTCGCATTTATCTGCACGTAGGCGGCGTTGCACTGTTCGGAAAAAAACGCCTACATCTGGGGGGCTAACAAACACTTCTTATCGTACGAGTGTGTAACTACCGCTCCACAGGGAAAATTGTCTGCCCCCCGGGGAAATTCTCTCTGCAAAGTAGTGTCCCCCCCCAGTACTGTCAACCAGTCTTGGAACAAAAAAATATTCATGTGAGCTTCATTTCAGTTTAATTTTTAAAAAAAAAAAAAAAGAAAAAAATTTCTTAAAAATACGGTTGTTTCACATTTGGACAGAGACTTGCACGCATGCATGCGTACACGTACGTACTCTCATGCAGGCACAGTGGCAAACACTCATGGGCAAATACACACAAGAGGCACACAACATGCACAGAACATGCACAGAACATGCACAGAACATGCACACAACATACACACAACATACATATGTACAAATACATATACACAAATACATATACATGTACAAAAAAAAATTCCGAATTGGCATTATTTGCTAGTCAAGGAGGGGAAGGCCCGAGCATCGTTAATATTGGGAGGGTCTCTCTTCTTAAAAAGTTTCTCGTCTATCTGCATTTTCGCCCTGCCTTCCATTTTATTATTCCAATTGGCTTCATCGGATTTTTTATAGCTTCGATAACCTATGCGAAATCCTGGGATTCTATCAACTCTTCCCCCTTCTTCCAAAATATACTGATAAACATTTATTGCTTTCCTCTTAGGATGATCCGATTTTATTTCCTCCTCGGCATGGTCATTTCGTTTGGTCGTGCTCCTAGCATTTGTTGTAACTTTGCTCTTTTCATTATTCACTGCATTTTTTTTCGTCTTCTTATCAGTATTCTCCATCACACTTTTATTTGAAATTAATTTCTTCTCCTGTTGTTTTCTATACAGATCATAATCAATCGTAACTGAGTGATGTTTCTTTGACACGCTTCTGCTCTCTCCGCTATTCTTACTTATGGATTCTACGCGTGTTTCTCTTTTTGTGCTTTCATACTTGCTTCTGCTTCCGCTATATTCGTTGAAGATTCTCTGTAGGAGAAGTAATAATAGTGGGAAGGAAGCGGTTGGTTAGTGCGCGTACTTGACTTGATCGAAAAACTCGCACGTCGGCACTACATCCGTGTAAGAGGACGCAATGTCGGTTGCACTTATCCTTGACACTCTGGTTGACTTACCTGCCTGTGGTCGAATCTGTTATAATTATACGCAGAGTTATAGTTCCTCCTGTCGGTGCCCATCTTATAGTCATGGTTCCTCGAACTTCTATAGTAACTATTGCTGGATAGAATATTCGTAGAGGTGTTACTGTATCCTGTGCCAACACCACCTCCTAGTCCTCTCTTGCTAGGGAATTTACTTCTTATATTATTGCCCCTTAGATGGTAACTGTCCCGGTTACTTCTCCTTTGGCTACTTTCATGTAACTCGCTGATTGATGATACGGGGTATTTGCTATACCTGTCGTTATACGCGGTGACCTTTTTGGCACTAACATCTTTAGTTGCCACGGTTGGCTTGTTCTCCTTTATTTCGGTTATCTTTTTTTTTTCTGAACGTGGGAATGGCAGAGAAAATCATCGGAATGTGCAGCGTTAATTGTGGGGTAACTCACAGAAGGGGGGAGGGGCTATGTCTCGGGAATCTCCACAGTTAGCTTATAACATTCTACGGGATAATCTTAACTCCCGATCAGGTCACACATATTATATGCAACATTCCTCTGGTGCGTAAAAAATTGTCCATTTTTTTCCACCGCGGACAAATGTACACAATTACTCAGCACAGTTGTATGGACACCTGCTCTGCCTATAACTGCCCGTGATGCAAAAAAAAATAGGACAAGTAAACATATACATACCGGTCACTAAACATGTGCGCTTCGCCCCCTCGTTAATGTTACCTGGCTTGTTGCTGTGGGACCTCTCCTCATTGGTACTATTTATTTCGCGCTTCTTGGTTTCTTTAAACGCTTTGTTTTCTTTTTCTTCATCTGAGTTGTCCGTATCGAACACAGAGTACTTGTTCGTCGTGTGGACGCTGTATCTAATCTTCGCCGCCATGCTTTTGGCCGTGCACACCTTTGGCAATGCAAAGTGGGGGTGGGGTGTGGTTAGTTTAACTGCGAGAGGGGTGATTAATCGTTTCAGCCGTTCCTCTTTTAGGCAGTTACGCCGATAGGCGCATATGCAGCTTTGCTTCTCCTCTACGACGTGCTTGACCGCAGTCTGACGTGACATGCATGTGGGAGCCTTCAGGTCGTCCCATTTGCCGTGGTGCGTTGCACGATTTATTCATACATGAGTTGGCTACAAACATATACAAATGTTGAGTTCACTTCACTTGGTCGGAAAAAAAAAACAACACAGAATATGTCCGTCGTAGAGTCAGGACCATACAGCAGCAACAGTACAATGCGCCTTTGCAGTTATATTTTTTTTGGCCTATACAAATTTAAGCGCATACCTTAATTACTAACTTTAGGGGGGGTTAAAATGTTTAACTAGCTTGCAGCTTCGAATAGGAGAGGAATGGTATCTTATATATTTTTAACAATCAGATGAAGGCTCAAAATGGGGAAAAAAAAAAAAAAAAATACTTGCGTTCGCGGAGTAAAGCATAACTACATATATGTATATCCGTGATCGTGACGCGCTTTGGCATGTACATGCTCCGTTTTTACAGGTCGTGGGAGGTGTAAGTTACGTAACGCCATAATTTGCGACCGCTTGTAATTCCAATGCAATGGTCCGCTTAATTGCGCGCTTGAAGAGAGGGGAGTAGTTGCAGAAGCTGCTATATGCGCAGTGGCCCAACATAGGGGGTATAGCGCAACAAGGGAGGAGTAACGTAGCAACGTGAAAGGAGCGGCGCATGTCAATATCTGTTTGTGCCTATTCGTTTCTCGTATAAGTGCTTTGTGCATCATATTCGTTTTGCGCATTTTCTTTCATTTTTGCACTCATTTTTGCGGCCGTGCCTCCGTATCGCCGCGTCGTTCTCCGCGCTTGTTCGTTCACCTGTTCGTTCACTTCTCTGTTTTTTCCCCCCAAGTTGCAGCATTTTTCTTTTATACCTAGCTTGACCCCGAGAAAGAGAAAACGCATTAGTAGCTCCTCCCCCTAGTGAGCATACCAAGTTCTACAACCCCCCTAAATGAATACCTGCCGTGGTTGGCTCACCCCAAAAGAGATGAATTTCTGGTGCGTGCCTCAGGAGACCCTATAGAGGGGAAGTTAAATGACGAAGGCGATAAGCGTATTTTCCAGCCACACTGTATATAAGCCACGACTTTTTTTTTTTGCGGACATTTTCAAAGAAGGCAAATTGCGAAAGACCCCGAACATTTTGAAGAAAGTAAAACCAAGTTGGTGGCAATGGGGCTTGCAGCAAATTGGCACAAAGTGAGATACGTGCTATCACAGCAACACTCCGCTTACTCTTCCTTGGGACGTCCCCTTTTTTTTTTGCAAATGACCCGATACGCTGTTTTACACCAAATAGGGATACACTAATTGGTTGGTTAGCTTACTAATTAGTAGTTCATATATATGCGCGGGCATTACATGGGGGGGTCCCCTTTTGCCCTCTTTTTGACAATCACGAAAAGGGGTCCATTTTTAACAGCAGAGGGAACCACCACCATTCGGAGTACTCTCTTAAAAACAGTTAACAGAGAGGCAGGCGAAGGGACACCCGTGGCACAGACGCATATGTGTCTACGTAATTATAAAATATAACACCGCATGGTACCACTGCACGGCGCGTTGTGTGTATTCTCGTCCAACCCACCTGACGCTCTTCCTTCATTCCAGTGCTCTCTTCATTCGATCGCTCAGTGCACATACCTGGTCAGAGTCAGTGTCATGCCCTTTTCACGTACATTTTGTGGACGTAAAAAATTGTTAAGCTGTATAGGAAGAACCAGACGACGTGGTTCAGAATGAGCAGCCGCAAAACGTTGGATGCGTAATCTTCCAGGGTGAAGCTAATAAGGTCTGTCAAATGGGGGTGAAAGAAAAAGGGAAAGAGAAAATTATGACCTGTCAGCTCAGCGAAGCGCGCAAAAATTTGTATGTTTCTAACGTGGGGGGGAAAGAGAAGCTATCCTCCTTTTCATATGCACAACCCTTTTACACAAAAAGGGGGTTATCCCCCGTTTGGAAAAATTAAACTGTTCTGTTCATTCTGTGAAATCCTTTATGTCACTCCCTCCCCCCCCTTTGAAATTTACTCCCCGTTTTGTCCTCCACTTACACAGCACTAGGAACATGAAGTAGGGATAGCTCTGCCGCATGCTGTTGGAATAATTTTTCTTGTCTAGCATGAGGAACTTAAAAAAGAGAGTCCCATACAGGTAATGAGACAAAGATATGACTGCCCCCATTTTTAACAAAATAATCGTAATCGCGTCAGTGTTGACTGCAAAGCTATGCATAAAATAAAGTGCACTTAAATTGTAGCAGAGCCAGAACTGAAATATCATTACCACCCCCATGGTGTTAAAGAGGTACAAAGAGAATAAGTAAATCAAAAAATAAAAAATTAACATCACTTTGCATTCGGACATAAATCTGGTAGCTTGATTGTATAGTACGTAACTTTCTGAGTAAAAATACACATTTTTTAAGTTACTCCTTTCTACAATATTTTTTATTCTCTTCAAATTTTCCAAGTTCTTTGCCTGGTTGGATACGTAATTGTGCAGGACGAAGCCGATTCGGCTGCTCGATATGCTGTCCGGATTGTCCATCTGGGGGGGGAGAAAAAATAATGGCGCGTTTAGAGACGTGTTAATGGAAGGGGGGAAAAACATGGATCGTTTAACGACGTGTTAATGGAAGGGGGGGTAACGAAACATGGCTCGCTTAACGTGTTAATGAAAAAGGGGAAAAAAAACGTTCATATGGAGATTTCACTCCTATAGTGTGTTATGCTTAGATGAGGTGCACCTTCTCAGTGGAGGGGTGCCACCCATCTGTGGAATGGTCAGACGACGTACCTTCACGTAATCGCCGTAGAAGAAGTGTGGCCGTATGTTGTAGTACCGAGGGAGTAAGTCGTCAATTTGCCCCCGGTCAAAATTTTTCATATGAAAAAATTTACTATCATATATCCCCTCCTTATTGTAAGTCATCCATTTGTACACAATTTGGTAAAAGCTATCACATGTCTTTTCCTCATCTTTGAAAAAAATTTCTTTTAACTTATTCAAATGGAGTTCTTTGCTCTCTCTATATGGAGTGATGTCATGACATGACTTTTTATAGCGATCCAAATTGTACTGATTAGTAAAGGAGCTTACATTACGGCAATCATTTTTTAGTAATTCAAATGCATGGACCCAAGACACAATGGGCTCATGAATGCATCCTTCCTCCTTCATTTCGTTTACTAGATTTATTATCATATCTGCGTTTTCTTCATCTTTGTAGTCAAACTCGTGTGAAGACGGCAACACCAAGTATCCTGGCTCGATTAGGAAGCCCGCCCTTTTCTCAAAGTTTTGGATAAACCTTCTCAGTGGCGATTCCTTCGTCATGTAATGGTACACATCAAGGTGAATCTTCTCGTTGCTTATTAGGAAAATTAGAAAGAGCCCTAAAAGGAGGAGGAACAAGAATACAACGAAGAAGAGTAACCCCTTCTTTTGGGTCCCCCTACGGCTCGCTTTCTTACTGTCCCCATTTCTTTCGGTGATATCCTTCTTACCATTTGGGTAAATGCAACTTTTTATGTGATGCTTCTTCCCATCCGTACCTTCGCATGCGCAGCGTGCGTTTGAGGAAGTGTCGCTCCCCCCGCGTTGACCGTTGTCACTCGATGTGCAGCCATTCTGTACCACCCCTCCACTGCGCGCCACCTCTGAAAAGTCTATAACGTGCTGATCAACCTGATTCCCCGACGAGCTACATACCGACTTAGCTAGTGGCAACGACTGAGATGAGGAGAACAGCAAGTGCTTGTCCCTGTAAAACAGAAGGCCGAACATGTTGTTAAAAAACGTAGCGTAGTACAGAAACAGACAAACGATGGAAAGGACCGAGTTTAGCGAAAAAACGTTGACGATTCTGTACGTGCAGGAAAACCCAACCATGTATACGGCCAGGACTATCAGAGTAATTTTGCCCACAAAATAAAGTGACTTGTAGCTAGCTCGTAAATAATATGTAGTCATATCTACAGACTTGTTCTTCGAATTCTTTGTGTTCCTCATTCTGCGCATTATCATTTTGGAAGGTCCCACTACGCACTTATTGCGATAAAAGAAGTTGACGCAGCAAAATAGGAAGCTTAGAAAAAAGAGGGGGAAAAAATTTAATAAATAAATTCGTAGAACATTAATTTGGAAAACCAAATTGATGAAGAAAGTGGAGAAGAAGGAAAAGAGCGTCAGGGCATATACACATAGGATAAGTAAAAACTTTCTGCCCCTTCTCGCTTCTCCTCCCCCGTCTTGTCCGTGATGCTTCAAACCGTCCCACGAAATGGAATATACATAAATAACCATAAAGAGGAAGGACAAAATGGCAAAGACGTAGTTTGATTTAAAACCTACACTGATGGATGACTGCTCGTTAGCCTCCAGTATTTTTTCATTAACAACGGCCATGCTCCAATTCCTATCCTGATTTATCTCGTGAACATAAGTACTGCTGTCCAAATTATGAATCGTTACAAACTGTTTTTCCCCCGAATTTATTAATTTCACCTGCCTGTTTAGAAGACCATACCATTCATTTAGAGAGGAATCGTCAATACCTTCATCGAAATGGAAGACAAATAAAAAGGCCTCCACATTTTTAGAGAAGTCAGATATTATGTCCTTTATCTTGGTCCTCTCAATGTCGAATTTATGAGGGTGATATAAAAAATTGGGCAAAAAAATAAGTGCGTTGTAGAAAAAATTGCCCAAAGATCTTTCGTCTTTTTCTAGGACTTCATCAAAATATTCTTCCCAATTAAGTGTCGTGTCATATTCTGCATTTTGAAGTTCCGAAACGGTGAACAACCCTAGAACGAAACATTTAGACTCCATCACAGGAACATCAAACGTTTTACATATTTCACTCCAATTTTTTTTATTTTCCGTATTCATTTGCTTAAAGAATTCCACCAAGAAGAACATGTCCTTCAGCGTATCGTATTGCAGAATTGTTTTGTCCTCTTCCTTGTCAAGATAAAACAGCAACGTTGCTGCTTTTTCCTTTTTATAAAAATTAAAAAAATGTTCGACTTTGTTTCCTATGTTGTCACTTGTGTGAATCATAACGTCGCTCGCTTTGGCGACATTCATTTTTATGAATTCTTCTCCATTTGTCTTTCTCAGAATAGCGCCCAGTACTTCGGACGTATTTTCCGCCTCGCTAAATATGTTCACGTAAAAGGAGATGCTCATTAGAGTGACAATTAACAATCCTATCGTTACACTTAGCATGATGCAGCATGGCCTGTGCAAGGTCAGCTTTACGTAATTTTTGCATAACTCGTAGAGAAAAGGTTTCTTCTTTTTCTTGAGCACTACATTGTCGCATCTTGAGTCATCACAAGGGGGTGCTCTCCCTCTTGCACAACCATTATGGCCATCCTTCCCACTGATGGATCGAAGGGGATTTCCTTCTGACACTTTGCAGCTACCGTCCGAGTCGGCATTTTTTACATCCTGAGCAAAGGAGCATACATTTCTACCGTTAGTGTAGTCACGGAACACTTGATCGTTCAAATGGTTCCTCCCTTCCTCTTCCTTTTTGGACTTACACTCGTGGGTGTGGGGAATCATGTCTTCACTACGATGGGCAATGGGGGCTGTGCTACCAGGGGGCGCGCCGTGTGAAGAAGTTTCACGTGTGAAGGGGGTCCACCTGTCAAGAGGTTCCACTACTGTAGAAGCTCACCGTGCAGAATGGTAAAACTTTCCAAACGGAAAAAAGAACACTGAGAGGGCGCCGAGCGAACGGAAACAATTTTCCAACCCCACTGCTGCGTACTAGGGAAGCTCCTCAGACCTTCGAGCACACCTGCAATGACGCGTTTAAAAAGTAGAAATTGTAAAAAACAAAATGTTATTTCTCTAAAAGTTTAAGTCAAGCTACTTCCACGCAGAAATAAATTTATAACATGCCTCACAAAAAAAAAAAAAGAAAACATAACATAGCATAACATATTGTAACATAGTTCCATGAACAGGTTTATGTTCCGTTGCATGGTCCAGCCACATTTAAAATTTATCTCTGCTTAACAGAGCTGCATTTCAGCATACGTTTCATTTGCTCTTAATTTTTTTTTTTTTTTTTCCTGTTCTGTTTACGACCGAATTGATCTATCCCGTTTTTCTTATTTTATTTTTTCCATTTCTCTGCAATGTTATAAGCGCATGTGCATATAGTTACACACGTGTGCAGGCAAGTCGTTTTTTTTTTTCCTCTTCTCTTTTGCATGAGCCCTTTAACCTTATTCGTGTGGCAGTGCTCACTTGGGTATGTCCCTAATGGGCAAATGCTACCTCCACCGCTGGTGCATAGTACTTGTCCAGCAAAAATGTAAAACATAATTTGTTCTGCTTACCAAAAAAGACCGCAACGGGGAATTAATTTTTTCTTTTCTAAATTATGTGTTACTACTTGTTGAGGTGGGGGAAGAGATGGGTACTAAAATGCACCCCAATGGCTTCACAATTTGGTCATAAAAAATGGTACGAATGAACAGTCTATTCCCGTCCTTATCCATTTTTATGAGATACCTTTTCACCACATGAACACTTCACATCGGTCTATACTTAATTGCATTATTTACACTACATGCACATGTTTAACTCAGGGTCATATATTAGCTGTACACCTGCAAGACACCCTCGGCGAGAAAAATTATGCCCCCATCATCTCCCTTGAAATGGTGCTCGTTACGCCAATCGATAGGAGCCACTCGGCTTTGCAGCAACTTCGGGGTGGAAGCAAAATGTACATATATACACATGTTTATATGTGTACATGCGCACGCTACAGCTATAAACTACAAATGAGGAAAAGAACTAGAAGACAATTTGGTGGCCTTTTTCGCCATACCATTTAGCTCCCCCTTGATATCACCATTTGTAAAAATGTACAAAAGAAAAAAGAAAAAAGCAGCCCTACCGATCAATCGGGAAAAAGTCATTATCACTGATTTGTGCACCTTTTCAAACACCTCCCCTTTTTTCCGTTATGTTCGAATTGGTCCCAGGAGGGGTAGCAACGGGGCCGATGAGAAGTCGTGATGGGAGGGAAATTGGAACAACACCATTGGGATGCATAGATTGGGCGAGTTGATAAAACATCAAATAATGCCATGGAATTTTGGCGAAGTTGCAATTTTGAGGATCTTTTTCCCCAGTGTAGCGCAGATTTGTATGTTTCGCTGAACATAGTGAAGGATGCTCAGACAAATATGAAACACTTGGGGGGTATGCAATTTTGTCATTCGCCAAAAGAGCATTTCATGCTTGGAAATACCTGATACAGCCGGGGGTACAAAATAGGCATTCCACTTAATTGCTCATTTTTCCTGTTTTGTTTTTTTTTCTTTAGGGGAATGCAACTTTAATGAGGTAGAAAAAATAGCCGATGCTTTTTTCCGCCATGTGTACATGCACTTACGTGCGTACACTTTGCATATGCGAACATACGAAGCAAAGCTTGTTATGTACGTAGCTACGCGTTCGTGGGTGCATTCAGGAGGCCTGATAGAGATGGCGGGGGTGGAAAGTCACCTTCACTGCGATATGTTCCATTTCCACGTTGCCTTTTCCATGCGATTGACCAAATTTTCCAACGCAAAAAAATGGCCCTCTATAAAGTGCAGAAGCTTTACTAAAGGGACGCTAACCTGACGGGCTACACTCGGCGGGAGAATGCACACTTGAATAAATAAGCAGACCCACATGTGCGTTTACCCCTTCAAATAAATATATATAACCTTACAGATGGGCATATGGCGTAGCAGAACTTTTTGCAGCTAGTCCTACTTATGTTAGCTGGGCTGGGGACCCGAGCCACGCCTCCCTCGCGCCCCTTTTCCACTTCTTTGGTCCACATATTTTGTAGCACATACGTATGTAACGTATGCATATAAGTATACGTACACGTGTATGCCTTTGTGCTGGTTGGAAAATTGCCAAATGCGTTTTTCGCCTTGAAGTTCTGTTCACTTTGCTTGCCCAAATGAGGTATTT